GGTGCGCTGGCGGCGGCTTATGTGGCAGGGGACCACGTGGGCTATCTGCCTCCCGCTGCCGGCGGCACAGGCCCCGCGGCGGGTGGTGGCGGACAGCAGGCGTTGGGGCACATTCTGTACATACGGGACTCGGCCAGTGAGGCGGATTCCGACCAGGAGCTTGATGAGGACTTAGATATATGATATATTTATCTGGAAAGGACTCGAAAAAACTTGTAAAGAAATTAAATGACGTGTGAAAATAAGAATTTAGATGAATGCATGCTATGGCCTATCTAGGCTTTCAGTTGAGGAATTTAGGGGGTCGGTGAGAAGTTTTTTTCGTTTTGGAGGGAGGGGGAAGGGAGGGAATATGCATCGTTACGGGGCATCGTGTGATGCGTAAAAGGATGATATGCCGAATGTTTTTTAATTGCATGTCAGAAGCTCCACCACCTGCGCAGCCCCGGACAGGCACGCACAGTGCCCGGACGGTGAGGAGAGCTTGATCAGGACTTCAAAAAGAGGCCATAGCCTAATTTGGACATTTCCATGGAGGCGGCGTACACAGTGCTAACGGGGGATATATAATCTATAGATTGATGCCTTTGCTCCACAAAGCTAATTTCACCCCCGATGAATGATAAAATCCCTATAGCGCCTTTGGTTTCGGGGCGCGTGTAATGTCGTACGACGTCGTACATAGGTTCCGTACGCATGGCCTTGAATGGAAAAAGGCACGTAACGCGGATCTGATTTCGGCGGATGCAAAACGGAGCGAACTGCGGATTTGAGTTTGCTTCCATGAGTAGGGAAGTCTGCTCCACGTTTCTTCCCCTGGCCCTGTGAATTCCATCATCCGTGAATGCGAGGTTGTATACAAAGGAAGATATCGGAGGATATATTACTAAATTGGAGGATATTTTTAAATCGGAGGATGTATTTTTTTTAAATCGGGCGTGGATTCTTGCGGATTCCAAAGGGCGCAGGATATGCACATGCACCGCAGGCATCGCGCGAGAGGACGGACGCTGCCCCCAAGCGGATGAGATGTTTTCAAAAATCTCAGGGTGATCTCCTTGCGATTCTCTCCTAGAGGTTTAGAGCCTGCAGGGAAAGTGGCGCGGAGATCCCCGCCCAGGGCGTTTGTCCACGATGCATAAAAAAAAGGAAGAGCAGCTTTGTCTCCTGGATTTTCGCGTCGCGTCGTTAACCAACAATTAATGCTGGCCCCACAGAAAAGGCCCGAAAAGGGCAGGTTAGTTTTAGCGGTTGGAGTAACGGCACCCAGCACGGCGGGTTTGTGGTGACAGTGGAAGTACCAGGAAGTGGAAGAGCCCACATGCACACGCGCACATGCGTGAGTGAGTGCTGCGTGTGCATGTATAATATTCAGGGTTTCGCAGGGTAGCTGCCACGGGCGAAGGTACACACGTCATAATATTCGATGCGGCGGGGGCGCGGAGGCCTTGCCAAACAGAGTCCTGCGGTTTGACGCCCACCCTCCCGCGTCTCCCGTAGAGCGCGAGGCAGTTCGACACACGTTCCTTTTTGGAGCACAAGACGACGTTTTTGTTTTTGCATGGCTCCTGTATCCTGGCTTGTAACTTTTCTCCTTCCCCTCCTGGTTGAAATGCGTTTGATGTTTTGACGATGCCTCCTTTCCGCCTTCCACTCGATCCGCCTTTGAGAGACATACGAGGATGGGTAACGTCGGTAACATTTTTCTGTTGTAAAATTGCCTTCGGAGGTGGGTTATCTGTGGGTTAGGGTCGGTGGGGCCGGATCGAGAGCGCATCTCCTCTAGTCGAGAGCGTCCGGACTGAACACACATCCGGAAGCGTGGCGATCTCAGCAAACAAGTACGCTTGAGGTGGCAAATGGCTAATAGAAAGTGCTGCTTGTTTAAGATCTGTGGGGTGAGAAAGAGATAGAAAAGGAGAGTCCTGATGTGCCGTGTGTGCTGGCATGCTGGCTCGACGTCACGGCGGATACGAGGCGTCTGGATAGCTCTGGATAGCTCTGGATAGCACGGGCTCCGGCGGCATGTCATTTCTACCCATGGCCCGGACAGCCTCAGGCAGCTGCAGACCGACCCCGAGCCACTCCCCTGCCCAGCGGCATTTCGGAGGGGGAACGGGACGCACGAACAACCCCCTGCACGGGGACCTGCACGGGACCCCTAGCTGGGCACATCCAGGGACTGCAGATGGGATCAGAGTGAACCCCCAACCCCACCCCCACCCCGGGCCCAGATCTTGTTACGTTCCCGCTTGGCCTATAACAAGCAACAGCTCCCCAATCTCATCCAGGTTGAGGAGTTGTCTTGAAGTACGCGCAAACGTCATCTCCACATGCGCCCTTGGTACTCCAGAACATCCCCCACCCCGACCAGGACCTACAACCTTCGCAGCATCTGTGGATTTGACGGCCGTTTGATATGAGGTTCGAATCGTAGGCTTTAGATGGACGCCTGCCTACCCTGACCTCTCACAGCCAGCGAGGTGGTACCTGCGCTGTGAACATCTGCTAAGGAATGGCCGCCAGTGCGCACCCCTGCCGCAACCTCGTTGCATTACTCGCTGCCACCAACCACTGCACCGCCGCGCGGCAAAATCCGTTGGCAAGGGATGGGCCCACGCAAGCACGCGGCCACCTGCATTGCCATGCACGGCCCGTCGTGCAGAAGACGTCGTGCATGTTCCGGAAGATGAGGTTGCTTCCTGCTAGAGTACTTCCGTTGATGACAACGTTTGAGCAGCGTGGCCTTGGATGACGGACTATAGCTCATGACAACACTTCGGTGCGGAAGAATGTCCTCAGGTTACGCGGTACGGCAAACGGTATGCATCCGTGAACCGTTCGGATCCCTTGTACTGTAACTCATTCGTTTATCCACAACATTGCGCAACAGTGTACAGCAGTGTACGGCAGTGTACAGCAGCGTCTTTTCCTGGTGGTCATTAGATGGACCGTGATGCCCTGCCCGCCTCCGCTTCCTCGGCGGCCCACTCGTCCAAGAGAGAGACGCCAATCACCGGTGGCAGCGGTGGCGTGGGAACGGGGCGGGTCTACCTTAAGGAAGGGAGCCGCGGAGGAGACCTAGCAAGTTATGGACCTTCTACTCAAGATGATAGGGGTGGTGGACGTACTGGCATTGCCTTCGCCACGTAGCCTTTGACACCGCCGACATCGCCGACGCCGCCGACATCGCCGCGGTTATCATCTCCTTATCGCCACCGCCATCGCCGCCATCGCCATTGCGGCCGCCGCCGCCGGCCCTTGGCGCCCCCCCTGCTGCCTCCGCCGCCTGTGTCCCCGCCCTTGCCTCCGGGGCCTTCACCTCTCCCGGCCTTCACCGCTGTCTCTACCCTCGCAGCTGCCTGCGCCTCCGCCTTTTCCTTCCTCATGCGGCGATGCAGCCGTCGCCGCCACCATAATGCTCGCGGCTTTATCGCCCCAATCAATTCCCGGTGTGGCGGGAAGCTGGCGGAAGACCGACAACTCCTCGAGGACGAACAGATGTCAGGTCACGCCCCGTCCTGGAGCTGTTTCAGTATACCGGGTAGACCTCAAAGGTTTGACCATTTAAAATCTGCTTGCAGGTACCCAGCTTATTGACTCAGTAATAGTGCACCTTGGGTTTTCGGTCTGCCTATACGAAACAGTAAATCGCTTGCGATTGAGCAAGCATGCCTGGGCCACACTGACTTTCAAAAGCAGCAAACAATCTGTTAGGCCACAACCGCCATGCCACAGCAGTGTGAGATAATGCGCCAAAACTCGAGTAAGATTCAATTATGACGGCTCAGATAGAAGTAGTCCAACTGGTCGTTAGATGGCCGCCGCGTTCTGTGTGTCAACGAGCGCCGCTTCGTTTCGAGGACGTTTTCTGCTAGGGTGGGTTCGGGTTCATAGCTTCCACTCCTGGTCCGCTATGCTCCCGGCCCTGTAAGGACAGCCCGGGAGTCGGTAACGGTTGGAGGTTGGGATGCGAATGGACGACGGCGAATACGGAGGGTCGTGAAGAAGGTGAATGAGGGAAAAGAGGGGGTCGCAGAGGTCAGTTGCGGGGATAGCTATACGTGCATCCTCCTCTTTCAATTTGGTTTGCAATTAACCAATTTTTGTCTTACAGGGCCTTTCTTAACATGAAGGCATCTTGAGCAACAGGCTAATGATGCTAATGCTTGGTGTATGCCATGCTTGGGCATAGCGCCCTTTCGCTCCTTTTTGTTTTTCCTGGCTGAACCGAAAAGCCCACACCGTATGAGTGCAGAAGATCAATTATACCATTAGCACGATTCATAGACTACCCTCGACCATGAATCTATATACTATCTTTGGCCCTATCTAAGATTAGGTAGATAGCTCGCGCCAATGCCCGCAGATACCTCTATGGCAGGGCAAATGCAGGCAGTGAACGAACAGACGGCGTTGCAGGGGCCAGATCTATCACCGCCGCTGCCGCATACATCCAAGCACTGTACCGGCAGCAGCAGCAGCAGCAGCAACACAGGCGCACAGCCGAACAGCAGCACAGCAACACAGCAGCACAGCAGCACAGCCGCACCGCAGCACTGCAGCACAGCAGCAGCACAGCAGCAGCACAGCCGCACAGCCGCACAGCCGCACCGCAGCACCGCAGCACAGCAGCAGCGCAGCAGCAGCACAGCAGCAGCACAGCAGCAGCACAGCCGCACAGCCGCACAGCCGCACCGCAGCACCGCAGCACAGCAGCAGCACAGCAGCAGCACAGCAACACAGCAGCACAGCCACACAGCCGCACAGCAGCACAGCAGCACAGCAGGAGCACAGCAGCAGCACAGCAGCAGCACAGCAGCAGCACAGCGGCACAGCAGCACAGCAGCAGCACAGCAGCAGCACAGCAGCACACAGCAGCAGTGCAGCAGCAGCACAGCAGCAGCACAGCAGCAGCACAGCAGCAGCACAGCCACACAGTCGCACAGTAACACAGCAGCAGCACAGCCGCACAGCCGCACAGCCGCACCGCAGCACAGCAGCACAGCAGCACAGCAGCACAGCAGCACAGCAGCACAGCAGCACAGCAGCACAGCAGCACAGCAGCACAGCCACACAGCAGCACAGCAGCACAGCAGCACAGCCACACAGCCGCACAGCCGCACAGCCGCACAGCCACACAGCCACACAGCCACACAGCCACACAGCAGCACACCAGCACACCAGCACAGCAGCACAGCAGCAGCAGCCCAGCAGCAGCCCAGCAGCAGCATAGCAGCCCAGCGGCAGCATTGCAGCCCAGCAGCATTGCAGCCCAGCAGCATCAGCACAGCAGCAGGATCAGCACAGCAGGATCAGCACAGCAGGACCAGCACATCAGCACAGAAGCTCGAAGAGCGAGGTACAGTGGCCTGCGAAAACTCGCCTACTATGGCCCCTACACAGGCATCCCAGAGCCGCTCCCCTGCCCAACAGCACCTCTCAAGGTTGAATCCTAGGCATCCCGCGAACGCTGGGGACCACGGTAAGGGTCCCCGAACGCGCAATTAATGAGCCCGACCGTCCCTATTAGCCAAACACCATTAGGAACCCCACCTTGTGGATAGCCGAGGGCTCTCGAAGGCTCTAGAAGCTTGCCTGTAAGTCATGCTTTCTTTCAAGTCGCTTTGAAGGTACATGCTGTGGTTTCGCCTGTCAAAATGATATTTTTCCCTGGGAGAGCTATGCAAGAATCCGATTGTCTGTACTATTTGTATCATCATAAAAAAATGATAGCATCTGGCTCAGCTAAGCAGGAGCGAGCAAGTTGCGCCTGACGCGTGCTGGATAGCTTGTTGGCCAATTCGTCGTCCAGACGCTGCTCAAGCTTAGCTACGTGACAATAAAGCTGTTTTCTTTTCCACTCATTCAAATGGATGAATTTGCATCCTCCCAGTTGGCCGACGGGGCGGGAAGAAGGCGCCAACGACTTCCTTCTGCGTGCGCTACGCCAAGACGGCCTGACAGGGAGAATTTTCCAGCTTGCCAGCCGCTACAATGTTTTAATATTACAGTATTCATTATTATAATTGTTATCTGGGAAGTTAATTCTGGTTCTGGGGCCTGTAACATCTCGTCTTAGGCGGTTCGGTCTGGCCGAGACGCAGCGACAAATCCGTCCGTACCGATCGGATCAGCAGTAACACCGCGCAAAGTGCTCATAAGACAGCGTTTTCTTAAGCTAAATTTAACTTGATATCTGTTTGATTATCCTTCATGGCCAGGTAAGCGAACTCTCTTACACGACCAGTTCGGTAACATAGCATAGTCATAGGGCATCCATTCATCACGCCTGATTGTTTTTCTTCTATTATAATCTAACCGCTTTATGAATTTGTGATTTCTGCATTCAACGCGCGACCTGCGCTACCCTCGAGCAAAATGCCTCAAGGTGCCGTGTTTGCTGCCTCGCGTCCAGAACGCTCCATACCAGGTCAGGCTAGTTCAGGAGCTAACGAAGTTCCTGAATTTGGCGTCATCTGGTCGATCGTCGAATCTGATTCGTCGCTGGCAGAGGGCCTCCCAACGGCAACGTTTTTGTGGAAGTCGACTGCAAGCCTAGGCCTTCACTTCAGTTCACTTGGGCGTTCTGGGTGCAAATGAGATGTTGCCCAACGAGGCAGGCAGTGCGGTGAGGAATCGCGCGCGAGGATAAGACGTCTTGACTTGCTCGACCTTGACTACTGATCGATCGTGCTCCAGCTGAAAAGGCCAGGCGCCAAAAACAGCGCATTGAATGCACTGGTGCTATCGCATTTCAGCCTTGCATCGTGTCGACAGGTGCTGCTCCTAGAGCATTATAGGATAGCAGCATTCTGAGCAGCACGCACGCAGCTAGCAGGACGAAGTGCAGCCAACTAGAGCCAACTGACGCTTCCGACAGCGCTGTTGCAAATTATCAAGTCAAGGCATCATGTGTCTGCTTTAGGTCTGATGTAGGTGAGAAATAATCTGCTTCAGTTAGTTTTTTAGGCATGAGTTGCGGTCACGGTCATAATTGCGATATCGCAAAGCCACGTCCGGTCTATCATAAGCATTACTTCTACTGCGAATGCCTTGATGGTGGATCGTGCACAGATCGTGCTGGAACGTATATGGTCCCACCGCAACTCTATGTCGTTCCCTTTGGTCGTTAGTATCCTTTCCTGTCACTTGCTTTGTCTGAAGTGCGAGGTAGGATGGTGCTTGTAGGTGATCTGGCAGGCCTTGAGCCCTCGGCTCGTATTTTGGTGGGTTGCAGGTACGGGGAACACACCCACGACCATGTATAACACACACACACACACACACACACACACACACACACACACACATCGTGCACAAGGAAAGGGGAGCGGATCACTGGGCACGTAATACTGCCCACTAAATAACTGAACCAAGGCGCGCACTGTTCATACAGCAGTCCAGCCAGGGCCTCGGGAGAGAAGCACAGGCCAGCAATTTACCGTTATTACAGCGTCCCTGCGTCAACTAACTTAACAACCCTGCATTCAAGCTGTCGCTGCTGTCTGTTCGCACACCCATGCAGCAGCTGCAACAGCAACCGCCTCACGAGGGACTGGAGCAGCCCCCTTTCGCCCAAGCCGTATTTCTGGACGGCGGGGAGCGTCAGCAGCAGCAGCAGCTGCAGCCGCCACCGCCACCGCCGACGCCGCAGCAGTCGCAGGATAATCAGTCGAAGGTTGCGGAACAGGTAAGGCACAGTTTATGGGCTCGGATGGGATTCGTTTGCCTGTCTGTCTGTCTGCCTGTCTGTCCAGGTCTCTCCCCCTCATCCTCCCACTCTTCCTACTTTCCCTGCACGTCTCCTGCGGCCTCAACGAGGGGGGCAGTTTCATCGTGAACATCGCGGCGGGTGGGTGTGTTTTGTGCCTACACAACGATTGCAACTCAAAACACTCTTTCGGGAAGAGTGATGCTACCACGCGCCCATTGATCCGCTCATGGGAGGACTTCTTATTGAAACATATATCGATTGTTTTACAGAGTGGGTGGCTTCTGGGCTATTTCTGGGCATGCATGTGGACAAATGCTAGCACTATGGAGTGGCCCGCATGGCGGGAGGCGCCCGCAGACTTTCGCCTGTGGGTGACTGGCGGGTCGGAAGCCAATACACTACTAAAATCCTCCTCCTTCAACGTGAGGGGTCCTTCCCGAAGGATCCTTTGGTCACCCTTTGGGGTGGCAGGGTTGACAACAAACTTAGTCTACCCCCGCTGGGGTTTCCCAATGGATGGAGGGGCTTTGACACCCATATATCTTTATGGCTGGCCTGATGCCCAGCAGCCCCACTTCGTTACTACCCATGCCCTCACTTCCCCTTGCCGGGCATCTTAGTCATTACCCATGCCCGCTCACTTCCCATCCCGCGATAGGAGCACCCTGCGGCGGCACCGCCGGAACTGGCAGACGGCGACGACGACGTGGATTGGGCCGATGGCCTCGACGGCCTGCCTCTGCCTCCACTGCCTCCATTGCCTTCACTGCCTCCACTGCCTCCCCTGCAGCGGGCGCCGCTGCAGCTGCTGATGGGGCACTACGAAGCGCAAGAGCTGCCGGATGGGTCACCGGCACGGGATTACTTGGATTGGAACGATGAGCTGGAGCGGCTGCCGTTGCTGCCGCTTTCGCCGCTGCCAGAGCTCTCTCCTCCGGGGGTCCCACCGCCGCTGCAGGAGCACGAGCAGCCGCCGGAGAGCTTTCCAGCGGCGCCGCCGCCGCAGCAAACAACACTTATGTGGATTCCGTTTGGAGGTGACTCAGACTCGTACTCGGACGAGGACGAGGAGGGGGACGAGGACGAGGAGGAGGAGGATGAGGAGGGCACGGGGGAAGGCACGGGGGATGAGGAGGGTGAGGGTCATTGAGCCAAAGATGGCGACGCGGCGACGGCAGCGATCGCTACCAAGGTCCGCCCGGTCAGATACAGCCGGAAGGGCTTTGACATGCTGTCGGTTGATCACTTTAAGCACGCGACGGCGGTGCTGTGATGGATTTCGCTGCTTGTCGCCGCTGCTGTGTGTGCCACGTTGTCCAACCGCATTGTGTGCCGTCGCTACGGGGACAGCGATCATGGTGGCTTTTTTTACTTGGCAAAGGAGACCCCGGTGTGGCTGTTTTCTCCCGTTCATACGTATTCTGCCGAGGCTACAGTTGTGTGACGCGGCAACGGAACACCACTGCACTAATTTGGATTGTCGGAGAGTATTTAAACGGGCCGTGCGACGAGTCGTGGCAAAACGCCATGACGAAGTGTGATAGATTGTGAACCTGGTGATGGTCAAGCGACAAGGTGGGAAGGTATGTTGTGCGACGCATACTTGTATGATTTCCTACTAGTTTATCTCGTTGATGCGGATGTCCCGGGCATACGCAGCGAAAATGATGCGTTGTCACGCACGATATACAGGACGTAAGTTGCAAGTCACGTGGCAACTGTTTCCGGTAGCTACGACGGATTTACAACACGTCTTCATTACGATGGCGGTGGGGGGTGAGGGGTAATGGGTTGGCTGTTTAGCATCCAATTAGACTGATGTCGGGTAGCTAGGAGTGGCTTCGAATTTCGGTTACAATCGGTTACAACTGCTTTGGGAGAGCTTCTGGTTCTGAAGTTGTCATAGCTTAGGGCTGCTGGAGATTTGCGGTGTGACAAAGGATAAAAGGATAAAAGGATTCGACCTGTTTCCCTAGGGTTGCTGCGTTAGCTTGCTGTACATCAGCGGTCGGTACACCAGATGGTGATTGTTCTGCGCTAGGTACGTGTATGTGCACGTGTATGTGTGTGTGCGCGTGTGTGTGTGTGTGTGAAACATCTGGAGTTGAGTTATCCTCCAAAGGTGGTATGTGTGTGTGTTACATGGTTGGGGGGTGCGTGACCTGTAAAACTACCCATACGAACCGAAGGCCCAAGGGCAATACTACAACGCCTAAAAGCCACGGAGGAAAGGAAACACCGCACATCAGCCCAGACTAGCGTCCAAAGGGGGTAATTGAGTTTCGGTGAGTCCACATACGTTCCAACATCCTCGCCAGACGTGCGGGTTCCCATTGCATGGCCTCCAACATGCTCTGTTGATGATCGAATCCCTGTTCAGCATGAATATCATTATAGGCTGGGCATTCCAATAACACGTGTTTTTCATCCTCGATTCGGCTATTAGTACCACAACAGCGGCAAAACCGCTGCCCCCTGGGGACATGGTACTTGCCTCTTCGTGCTCTGTTTGCCTCCAGAGCCCAGCAACATAAACGAAACTGCATTAGCTTACGATGTGCTAAACGAGGAATGAAAACCTTAGCAGGTGTTGGCCACATGACGGCTGCGGCTCCCGAAAAGGGCAGCCCCATCCAGTGCTTATACTTCGCCATTTGCACTCCCGGTTGCTTCCCATCTGATGGGTACTCCTCTGGCAAGACAGTCAGACGCGTATGGTCCCAGCCGCTCATCAAACGCTCTCTTAGTGTCGTTATCATCGCTTCTTCGGGTAGAGGCCTACTCAACAACCAGTCAACACGCTCCTTTACCCCCATGACTTCTTGCGGTATTCCGCTCCAAATATTGCACTCCAAGATAGAAAACAGTCATAACATTGAGGTTCCCCAACCCTCCCATTCCGGGTTGGTCAGGGCATCGGTTATCTCCTGCCGTAAAACTGCATGAGCAATGGACCCCACTTGCTTTTGAAGGCGGTTCCAGAAACGGAGGATCTGTTTCACCATGTAATACTGTAAGGGGAGTTCAGCCAGCTCCGCATACAACAGCCTGTGGGATGGCCGTGCCGTCCCCACTACCTGCCTTATGAATAAAATCTGCAGCTGGACTGCGCTATCCTTCAAACAGGCTTCGAACATGCCCTCCGCAAGGTGTTGTAACATGCCAAGAAGTAGTGCTACTGTTAGCTCCCGACAGGGCCGTATCGGTTTCCTTTGGAGCTTGAAGTTATGGTCCGTATGGCCCCCTACAGCAGTTTTGTGAACGGCCCAGCTCTTCCTGCTCTCATTCTCCCAACCGTCATCCCCTCCCTGCTCAACTCATTTCCAACTTCTCCTTAACGGAGTTGCTTCGATTTGTTCGGTGCACCTTCCACTCCTGGTCCGCTATGCTCCGGGCCCTGTAAGGACAGCCCGTAAACGGATGGAGGTTGGGATGTGAATGGACGACGGCGAAGACGGAGGGTCGTGAAGAAGGTGAATGAGGGAAAAGAGGGGGTCGCAGAGGTCAGTTGCGGGGATAGCTAAAATCCGCCATGGCCCCCGGTGCAGCATCTTAATGTAATCATTTTATTTATCGGCTTTATAAACTTGATGAGCCTGGCGGCGTGTTCTGGCGGGCGCAGAATCAACATTAACAGCATCACAATTGGATTTTCTTAAGCATGGGCCGCGTTATCCGTGCGCAAACAAAGAACACGTGCGAGACGGATGAAGATAAAAAGCTAACCCGAAGGATTGCCCGCAACCAAATGGACGAGGACGCTGATAGACGCCGATGTATATGTCTTGTGCGCTCTGCTTGAGGGCGGAGCATTTCACGCATCAGGCAAAGGGTAGTGGTTTCACCCTAAATATTCTGCTTCGTATTTGCGGGGTCAGATTTCGTTACAGGCAGATGTTTAACTTCAAACCTACATACGCCTGGCGCAGCGTGTGCTGAGCTCGCTGCAGATCTACATGTAGCATATTGGCCGATTCAATGTCCAACCGCTACCTACGCTTGGCGCATGATATCAAGACTTGACGCTTCAAGTTTTCCTACGGTGTCATACCGGACGCGACATCTTTCTTGCCGTTTGGGCATTAAAAGGCGTCAAGCGTGGCTACTACCCAGCGTGCTCAGCCCTCAGGTCTTCGTCAGAGAAATCTAAGTTGGGACTTTGGGGGGGGATAATTCTCAATCTCTGCCAATAGAATAGTAGCCTGAATCTCTAATATAATAGCAGCATATTCAATAAACAGGCTATGGAGCATGCGACATTACGTTCATTGTTTCGATTGTGTCGACAAATCGACAAATCCGTACCAAATCAGATCAGCTGGAACACCGTGCAAGGTGCATTTAAGAGAACATATTATGTATACTTGTACATAGATGAATCTTTCTACTGCTTCTCACTATGCCGCAGATAACCAACGCACCTTGGCGTTCGGAGCGGAGCCGCAACTAGCAGGGATCTGTCCATCCCGCTACGCACCCTGATTCTCCTCCACTAGAAAATTTATGGTAAGGATTGTTTGTTGATGTGATAAACTCTTGACGCTCTTGACGCCCGAGCAGTGAACTGAAAGGTACCATCTTTGCTGCCTCGCATCCACAACACCCCACACCAGGCCAGAACACTTCCGAAGCTGGCGAAAGTTTTCCATTTGGCTCAGCTCGTCAAGCGGTAGATTTGAAAATCGAGGTCGGCAAAGAGCTTTCCAAGCGCAGCAGGTTCGACGGAATCGGTGACAAGTAGCATTTCTAGCTTCAGTATCTGAGAAAAACAAGGAAATATCCAACAAAATCGCGCGAGAGGTGAGAAATGCCGCGATCTAGTCGGGCGGATCGGCCACGGCGCGTTGCTCGCTCACCTGCAGAAAAGGCTTGGCGTAAGTAAGACGTAAAGGGCTTTGCAGTGATGCTATCGCTCTCACGCCTATGCGTTGGGTCGCCGCTATGATAAATGAATAGCGGATGGCAGCTTTCTGAGGAATAGCAAGACCGAGCACAGCATTGTGCGGCAAACGCTTTCCCCGGCATTTCATTAATTCGTGAAAGGCCTCAGGTCAGAAGCCTTCATTGACTTTGATGACGAATAACTCCATTAGATTGTGAAGCGAGGCGGCGTGCTTCTAACCCATCTGCGGTAACCCAGAAGCGACACGCCGGCATCATTATTACAACCCTGAGTGACTTAGGGTGCCTTCGATGTCTGTTTGCGCACGCAGCCGCTGCAGCACTAACTGGCGCCCTTCTTTGGAGCACCCGCGTTTTTCCCAAGCCGTACACATGAACACGCAGCAGCATCGGCAGCAGCAGGTAATGAGCCACCGTCCCGTCACCGTACGGGAACTCGCGTGTTGTTGTTGTTGTTGTTACATGGTCGTGGGTGCGTTCCCCGTACCTGCAAACCACCCTAGTACGAGCCGAGGGCTCAAGGGCTGCCAAATCGCCTATAAGCACCATCCTACCTCGCACTTCCAACGAAACAAGTAATGAAGTATACTAACGACCAAAGGGAACGATAGAGTTGCGGTGAGACCATATACGTTCCAGCATTCTTGCCAGGCGTTCAGGTTCCCACTTCATAGCGTCCTTCATATGTTCGAAGCGTGGAAAGCCCATATCAGATCTGATTCCGTCGTAAACCGGACAGTCCAGCAAAATGTGTTTCTCATCCTCGATGTGGCTATCAGTGCCGCAGCAGGGGCATACTCGCTCCTCCCTAGGTATATAACGCCGTCCCTTACGCGCTCTGTTAGCCGCCAGTGCCCAACAGCAAAGCCTAAACTGCATAAGCTTGCAATTCGCCGAACGTGGGATAAACATTGTGATGTGCGGGAGCACCTCCTTCCTGCCCGCTTGCTCGGCCGCCAGCCCCATCCAATGCTTATACTTCGCCATGTGAATTCCTGGTTGTTTGCCGTCTGACGGATACACGTCAGGCTGGACATCTAAACGTGTATGCTTCCAACCACTCACTAATCGGTCCTTGAACTCCGAAATCACACCTTCTGGCATTGGCTTGTTCATCAGCCACTCCACTCGTTCGTCTACCTCGTGTAGCCCTTGCGGGGCCTCTTTCCATACATCGTGCCCCCAAAAACATAGAAAACGGAGGAGTAGTGTCCCCCATCCGGGTCCTTCGGGGTTGGAGAGGGATTCTGCGACCTCCTGTCGCAAAACTTGGTATGCCACAGACCCACGCTGTAAACGGACATGGTTCCAAAACCTCACAACCTGCTTGAGAACGTGGTAGTGTAGGGGTAGCTGCGATAGCTCTGCGAACAAGAGGCGGTGTGTTGGTCTGGCAGCTCCTACAATTTGCCGCATGAAAGATATCTGAAGCTGCACTGCCCTGTCCTTTAGGCACGCCTCGAAGGGCCCCTCTGCAAGGTTATTCGCATCACTCCGCTTCCTGAGCCTGTCCAAGACCTCAGCTAGCATAAACGGCCCCCACACTTGACAACCATACAACAGTATTGCTCGTACCTGGGTATCGAAACACCTCATCCTCGCGTGTGTCCGTCTGTCTGTCCATCTGTCTTTCTCTGTCTTTCTCTCCCATTTCCTACTTTTGTACGTTCTGATGGCGCAATGAAGGATATAGATTGTTACCGTCTTGCGTGTCGCGGGGGCTGGCGGGCGGGCGGGTATTTTATTGGTTGTGCACATGCACACAACGTTGTAGTATTGCCCTTGGGCGTTCGGCTCGTATGGGTAGTCTTACAGGTATGGGGTCACGCACCCCCAACCATGTAACACACACATGCACACACATGCACACAACGTTGACAACGACCCTTTACGGGTCGTTGCCGCCTCTTGGCCCCCCGCTCACCAGCAGCCGGCGCAGCACGCCGCCACCACCGCCACAGCCGCCCTCGCCGCTGCTCCCGTTGGCGGTGACGTCAGGACACCAACGCATTATCACCATGCATCTTTGGCAGAACTACCGGATGAAGCAGCCAGGGAGGTGGCCGCGGTGGTGGCTCGTGAGCTCGACGGCGCGCTCCCGGTGGTGTGTAAGGACCACACGGGTTTGTTTATGTTGAGGTACATGCTGGTGGCATGTGACTGCGACGACTGTCGTACACAGCCCGGAAGCGGCAAGAGGATTTGCTGGACACCCATCGGCTTTGAGGAGCATGCAGGTGGGGTGGCGGCGCGATGCAGAGCCGGGGCCAAGTGCGCGGGTAGGCGTTGGCTGGGGCACTGGCATGGGTGGCGGGCTGGGGCACTGGCATGGGTGGCGGGCTGGGGCACTGGCATGGGTGGCGGGCTGGGGCACTGGTATGGGTGGCGGGCTGGGGCACTGGCATGGGTGGCACGTGTGTGGGTAACGGGTACGGGCGTGAGTACGGGCTCAGGCACCCATGGCCGAGGCCTCTGGGGACTTAAGGGGCCGCGCTGGGGACCGCTGGGTTTCTAACCAAGTGGGCCCGGTCTGCTGCCTGTTGCCATTTTCCCGCCTCGCGAAATTGAGCCATAGGGCGCCGTTGGAGTTTCCTCTTTAGGCAACCTCTGGAAAAGAAACCTTAGCGCTTAGCGAAACTACCTACTTCCAGAGGCTTGGGCTGATTCCGCAACAAGAAAAAGACAATGCATGAGCAACGCAATGCATGAGCGCAACCTATTGTGCTAATCAGCCTACAAGGCATTAAAAAAAAGCCGCAAGAACGCACGCCCATCCACCCGCCCAGGCATGGGAAGCAGCAAGAAGTGGAAGAAGAGCATCCGGCTGCTGAGGTTTCGTTGCGGTTCTGCGGCGGAGGCGCTTCCGGCCAGCGGCAGCCGCGGAGGTTGCCAAACTCTTGGCGAGTGGCTGGAGAGGCATGGCCTGCGGGTGCGGACCAGCAGATTGCGGCAGCGGGAGATGGATGCTGCCGAGGTGGAGCTGTGTATTCGTGTAAGTGGCTTGCGATGGACGGATGATGATTAGGGGTAGGTGGTGCGGGAGGTTAGATTAAACATAATGAATAGTCTCCCTAGTGGACTTGAGGTGGTGGCGAATTTGGGTGAGTTGGTGGGCTTGTGAACCGCGGGGTGAAACGGAGGTGCGAGGGTAGCGGCATACTCGCGGTCGGAATAAACCGAGTTGGGAAAAGCGGAGCATCTTTTTTCCTTATTTCACGTTGCGTCTAGTGATCTCTGACCGTCCGCTTTATTTCTGCCGCCACCTTTTCACCCCGCCTTGATCGCGGGCTGGATCGCGTTTCCGGCCCATCTCAACTTTATTTTAATGGCAAACCTCCTTCCCCACCCACCCACACACGCCGCGTGTCGTTGTCGGCGGGAACCCACCGTCGTCCCCCCACCTAGGCACCCACCACTCGCCGCATGCTGCCGGCGGCCCCGGCACCGAATCCGGGAGCGGGTGGTGGCAGTGGCGGGGGCAGCGTGCCTCCGTTGCCAGCCCCAAAACGGATAAAGATTGACGCCAGCGGCGGCGGCGGCGGCGGTGGCGCCGCCGCCGCCGCAATCGGCGTCACCGCTGGCATCGTTACACCGTCCGTACCCGCCGCACCCGCCACCCCAGCCGCCACAGGCGCACTGCTGCGCGGCATTTTGCCAACAATGAGCTACGCCGCCAACCAAAGTGCACGTGCCGTACAAGTGTACGGCACCCAGCAGTCTACCAGGACTTTACATGGCCACGTCCGAGTTGTAATGAACGATGATTTGTGAAGGATTAGCATGTTGAAAGATATAATTAGAAAACAAGGTATGTGACAAAATTGTGTGAGTGACGAAAAGTCTCGAGCGACCGTGTGTGTCCGTGTGTCTGTCTGTGTTGCATGAGATCCGGGCTGCGCAACTACCGCCGTACCTGCAAACCTGCTGCCCGATGCGAGCCATGAGGGAGCTCTAAGATCTTCCCATTGCCTGCTGCTGTCAAAAGGCGTTCAAAAGTACAGAGCCGGCCGCACAATGGTGCAGCAGGTAAAGTGAAGCGAAAGTCTTCACAAAGGAAAGGACAGGTATGCATTTATAATTGCCACATGCGTGACACCAATTCATGGTAGGCCAAACAAAACTCAAGACGGGATTTAACGCCCTAATGGAACAAACGAGTTTTTGACAGGATCATAGATCGAATAAATTCGCTTCAATGACGTCATCCGCTTGACGTTATTGCTTCACTCACGCTATTGCTGTGTGTGTATTGTGTGGGTTGCCGTACTTATGGTTGCGTGCAGGAAGGAGGGTAGGCGCAATTACGGATTGATACACATACACCCGCACATACACGTTAAAAAACACCCGCTCGCCGAGAGGAGGTGGGTATGACTTGACCGCTGTACGGCGATAGTGCACACGGCTCCTTGCCTCCCAAGAAGTTGAAGACCCGCACAAGGAAGCTGAAAGGACGACATGTACGACAACGGTGGATTTGTTATATCACGACTTCAGAAATTTCTTAAAAGTAAAAATACCGATCGGCGGATGCAGATCCCATGATATGCCCGGAGTACTAAAGAATCCACGGGTGATGAAGGAATGGGGATACGTTTAATTGATGATGGGGAAGCTGTTGTCCAATAATTTGTTGGTGACCTAACAGATTATTGTGCGAATGGTGGAGAGCGAATGAATGTAGCTGGCCGCAATGCTTGTGTGTGTATGTGTGTGTATGTGTGTGCATGTGTGTGTATGTGTGTGTATGTGTGTGTATGTGTGTATGTGTATGTGTGTGTATGTGTGTGTATGTGTGTGTATGTGTGTATGTGTATGTGTGTGTATGTGTGTGTATGTGTGTGTATGTGTGTGTATGTGTGTATGTGTATGTGTGTGTATGTGTGTGTATGTGTGTATGTGTATGTGTGTGTATGTGTGTGTATGTGTGTATGTGTATGTGTGTGTATGTGTGTGTATGTGTGTGTATGTATGTGTGTGTATGTGTGTGTATGTGTGCACATGTGTGAAGGTTACAAGTATCTAACCGGGCCTGACACTGGCCAGGGGCTGCTGCCCAGCCCCAACGGAAAGACCGCCTAAGCTCTCTCCCCCGCGGACGGGAGAGGGGCGTGAGGGGCCTCTGTCCCCTCCTAAGCAGCCGACAGCCGCAGGTCCGCTAGCTCCGCTCTCGCCCGTGTGTGCGTGTATGTATGTTTTCTGCTACACATGTATGTGTTTTATACCTTTGGGAATTGCGTTACGAGGCAATGTGAGAGGGGGCCTGGTGCTATGCCTTACGTAGCCATAAATGTCACAGCAGGACAGCAACAGATTATTTAGCAGTGGGATTTTACTCTAGCGCTGTGTAGGAGCGAGCACGTAAACATCTTCCATCGTACGGTAGGTAGTGTGTTGATAATTTCTAATCATCATCAGAGTTCATAAGCTCTCTCAACTTCCCTCCTTCCATTTCTTAAGTTCGTTTTATGCTGAGCCTTCTGTTCGCCTGCAATTTGTAGGTCAGCCTGGTCGGTTTCGAAGGTTCTTCTAACGGTTATTACCCATCCTAAATAGTGCTTTTGATCTGAAAGCAGAGCGAGTATAAAGCCAGTAGCAGTTGGATGCGGGGTGGGGGTGGGAGAGCCTGCTGGAACATACCTAGGGAGTTGAGCCGCTCATCTAGCTGCCTGCTGCTGGTCCGCTAGCTAGCGGGGTGCGTGGGTAACAGCAGATACTTTTCGGATTACTAGCTATTGGGGAGAGCTGCCGGGGATAGATTGCAGGAGTGATGATAAAAACATGCCATGATGAAATGTATGTATGTCGCCAAGTATGGGTCGACCTGTATGAAAGGTTGTGAAGGTATTTGCTCTCAACAAATTATCAGTAGTTGCGATAGTTAGGCTGCGACGGTGGCTGGTATTCCTACTACTAGCCGCCTGATGCATGAGGATTTCATATTTGGGTATATTAATGTTGTAGGGGGGTTTTGAGGGGGCTATACATGGCGTGTGTGGGGGGACATGTAGAGATCTCTATGCGTGATGTTGGGGACTAAATCCATCGTTATTATGTATCCCTCAATCCGTCATTATTACTTATTCGAATTCTAAGTCTCAGGTCTCACGTTCTCGAGCTGTCCCGAGGATATCGATACATGATCTGACGTTGTAACAGGAAGACGAGTAATCCTTTGGCGTCTGAGATAAGAGGGATTATTTCATATCTTGCATGCAAGTCCAGAAGTTCTCAGAGATAGAGCGCCCGACCGCCATGCAAACGCTCGTTTATCATCAGGGACCAGCAGAGACTGGGCCTCACCAAACCGCCTCCTGCCAGTCCTAAAGAGCGAGCCTCTGTCATACATACTGCCGTAAGCGTGCGTGATGTGCGCCGGTTCCATACTGTGCTGCATTGCTTGTGGCTCTGCGGAAGTAATTTCCCGTGTGGTCCGGTGAGTCCTAGGTTTGGTTCGCCCGCCGCATCCTGACTAGATCCTCGATGGCCGCCTGCGCGACTTATTTGATCCTAGTCGTCCACAAGCAGTGGTGTTGGCGCTTGTATGTGCAATATTACTCACCCAGGAACCGCGCACACCCTCAGAGACATAGACTTCAAACTGTCACCTCGGTCCACCTAAATTGCTCAGCTTCCTCTATGTATGCTGTATGTAAAAGGCTGCACGAATCGACAATGCTATTAGTACGTAGTTGAGCTTCTGGCAGGCCAAGCTTAAATTTAAAAATTCTTTTGCAAGGATAGCCCCGTTAGCGACGGTGCTGTAAGATGAAATTACCCACGAACATTCTGGACTTTTAAGGGTCCATGTGACTGAGCAAGGTAAAACGCTGCGCCTGTAGGGCATTCGAAGTCCCTTGGGTCAGTATGGGTCTGACCACTGTGCGGTGATGGGTGAACATCCACCTCTACCTGCCTTCATTGGACGCCCTGTTTTCAAATTGTCCGCCAAGCACCGAACCTCCTAGCTTGGCTGACATGAGGTGTGGCCTTCTGTATGTCATGTTCGTAAGGTCTATCTCCGGAGTCCTAGGAATTACGGAGCTGGACGACGAACGGCTAAGGCAGTAGGCCAGCTGCAGGCCAGCACAGCTGCTCCCTTGCCTGGTACCTTCTGTTGCGAGGTTGAAAACGAAAATATTTGGGTGCGCAGTCACGCACCTCAACAAGCCTCGTAACTCCGTTACAATTCTTCAAACCCAAAAAGGAGGCCTAACGGCATATACAGTAGCAGTCCTACCAAGCCCCCATATACATTAAAAAGACGCCACGTTCTCTCCCATCGCGACGCCTCTGACGGTCCATTTGCTCCGAGCCTCTTCATTTCATCGTTCATGCATGAGGACGGGTATTCGAAGATGCCGCTCTGAGTGAACGGTTGAAGACTGAAGCGGTAATACGGCAGGACATCGGTGGCAATTTTCTTCCATCTTCAGCAGAGCCTGCTGGTGGTGCAGCGCGCTTCATGGCGTTCGCGGCCCTACCGGCAATCTTCTCACGCTTGGACTCCATCCAGCCTCCCTTGCTTCGCAAGGCGGTGATCCTGTATGCATACGCTGCTTTAATAACTCTGTGGGCGGTAGCAGTGGTGCGAAGGCTGCGTCCTGGGCTGCCCAGGTTCCTGGCTTCTTTGCCGGTCGTGGTGAGCCTAATCACCTGCTGCCTTTGACGCAGCTAGGCCGCGCACTCTCAGCTAGAAACGTGTACAGCTTCAGTTCGCGAAAACCGCCATATTGCACCAGCGGCCAGTAGAGGCTAACTACTGCATTTTCCTCTTTCATTTTTGTAGCATGTAACGCTTCTGCTGCACACCATTAAACGTGTGGGCTCGTTTATCGGCTTCGACTTTTTACAATAACGTTCCTTCTTCAAACCCAAGCAAGGAAAAAACTATTCACGCGCAAACTTTCTTACAAACCCACGCACTTACTCTCCGGCCGCGCATACGCTTCATGCGCTCGCATACGATGTCGCGTCTGACCAGCTTTTATCCGCTGCACGTGTGCTCTAACAGCCTTGGGGCGCTTGGGCCGCTCCTGGCGCGTATATGCATGGGCCCTCGCGAATACACCTTTGTTGGGTAGCGCATCAACTTTCAGAAGGTGAAACACAGACGCACACACACACAGACACACAGACACACACACATACATATGCCGCCCTACCTTATCACCCTGCCCTGCTTTGCCCTGTCCATCACTAGATGGGCAACCTGCTCGCCCCCCTCCTCCTGGATCCCAACTCGGAGCCGCTGCTGATCACTCCACTTGCAGGCGTGTTCTCCCTGGCGGCCTTCAAGGTAACAACTAACTGACTAACTAACTGAGCAGTAACTAACCGGTCCATCTGTTTCCTGGTTGGCTGGCTAATCCCGGTGGAGTGGAACAAATTAGGGTTTGGCGATGAAGGACCGTTTTCCTGTTTGAAGGATAGAGGGGAAGGGTGAGGCTATATATAAAACATACATAAAGATGCGAGCTGACCAGGAACTAAGTTGTGGCGCCGTTGATCCGCTAGATTGGTTGGATGCTGCTGGTGAGTTGCTGAACCCAACGAATACATTCTGAAGCCGGATGGGGTGAATGGATTCGGGTGCCCCTCTCGCAGGGGAGAGCAGGGAACTGCCTCGGGAAAGGGGGCCGCTGGCGAAGCTATACCACCCTGTAACAACATACAAACATACAGATATACACTCCACCAGGATATTCTCAACACGCCATGGCACCAACACTTATAGCCTACCCCTTTTTGCCCCTTCATTTGCAACTTTCTACCCTTCGATTGCCCGTGTCGCATGGTCGTTCCTTGCGTGGGCTCCGCTAACCGCTAACCGTTACCTGCAAACTGCTAACCGCTAACCGCTAACTCACGCCATCCACTTCCCGGGGCACGCGCTTTCCTACGGGCCCCGCCTCACCACCGCCATCACCATCACACCAACACCAACATCCTAAATATCGCCACCGTCGCCACCGTCGATCGCCATCGTCGCCATCATCGCCATCATCGCCAGCTGCTGGCCTTCTCCATCGCTCGAGGCCCCTTGGTGCCGTCCTGGCTGACCAGGGGGCAGTTCTGCGGAGTGCTGCTGCTGCCCGTCATCCCCATTCAGGTGTTCACGGTGGGCCCCGCGGCCGCCGCCACCGCCCAGCTGCACACCGTGAAACGAGGCCGCCAGCTGCTGGTGCATTGCTGGGCTAGTGTGGGTAAGATAGGGACGGTAAGATAGGGACGGGGCAGCTAGGTAAAGGACGTGATAATCAGCAATCTAGCAATGTGATAATCATAGGAGCACCTGCTGCTGCAACCACCCATTAAGATGCTGCTTGTAACTATCCATGGTGCTGCTTGCGGCTTTGGCTTTGAACTGTTTGTGTGTGTGTGTGTGTGTGTGTGTTTACGTGTTTGGGAATGCAGGTACGGCAATGCTGGTGAGCTGGGTGCTTGCGCTGCCGTACCTGCCGGTTATGGTACGGCATTGGCTGTACACGCTGGCCAGTGCCACCTTCCTGACGGGAGTGTTTGATATCCTTGGAGCTGTTGCCTATCTAGGACTGGGCATCACTGCGGCGCCCGCCTTTGACCGGCCCTGGCTGGTGAGCGATCGGTCTTGGGAGGGGGGGGTATTCCCCCTGAAAAAAGGGGGAGGGGGAGGGAGAGGAAAGTGGAAATGGTGCCGGGCTTGTTTAGGCTATCCTAGGGTTATTATAGGTATTTTCCTAGGTTTACAGCTTCCTAGGTTCCTTCTCAGGACTTAGGACTGGGTTTGTGTGTGGTAATATGGTCTGTGTATGGTTTCATGGTCTCTGGTCTTGGGGACGGGGGAGAGGAAGGGAGAGGAAGGGAGAGGAAGGGAGAGGAAGGGAGAGGAAGGGAGAGGAAGGGAGAGGAAGGGAGAGGAAGGGAGAGGGCCTTATGCCAGCGCGTGGAGGGTGTGTTTGGGACGGACTGCGGAGCCAGCCAGGCCCGGGACGTCCCCCCAGCTAAGAGCGATGTGCGCGTGGTGTTTGTCTGTGTGTGTGTATGTGTGTTTTGGGGGTGGGAGAGGGAGAAGTGGAGGGGTGTCTATGCGTTGGGAGGTTCAGTGCATGCGTCGGTTAGTTCTACTTTCGATCGAATGCATGGATCGTTTTATTTTAATTCCGTCGTACACTGCAGGCACGACCTGGGACATGCCATGCCATGCATGCATGCACCTCCTTACGAGGGTTATGTGGTGAAACTCAGTCGCGATGCCTTTCCCGCATTTCAAAACCACCAACAACGGTTGACATAACAATATATTACGTCGGCATATTAACTCGCTATTTACTAATGATAAGCATGGCATGAAGTGCGTTGTTAACAACTAACTGTACTGCGGCGCGCAACGGTTTTGTACGGCTGTCGTGTTTTGGCCCCCAGTGCGACAGCTTCCAGGATTTCTGGGCACGCCGTTGGAACCTAACCACCACGTACATGATGCGAGTCCTGGTTTATGAGCCCGTCATTGAGGGGCGTCTGCTGCCAGCGACATGCCGCCGGAGAGCCAAGCCGTCGAAGGCGGAGGCGGCGGCGGCCGCAGCAGCAACGCCGCTGGTGGTGGGGGCAGCCCCGGGTGGCCGTACCACCCTGCAGAGCCAGCAGGTGTGATGGACGCGGAGATTGGGACCCATGTGCGTATGTATGTATGTGAGTGTCTGTATGTATGTGCACGTGTTTGTGTGTGCGTGTTTTTGTGTTTTCCGCAAAGGAGTGGGGACGTCTTGAGCCACTGATGACCCACGGGTCGGTCTCGTCGCTAATTCCAGGCCGACTTCCCAAAAGCAGGGCTGCCTAGCACCCGCTGGCGATTCGGCTGTAGCTATATCAGGGCCGTCAGAATCGGAATGTGCGAACGGTGTCGTACCGTCCGGAAAGACCGTGGTTCCGGAGCCTGGCACGAGGCATGCCGCAGAAGTCGGTACTGGGCTGCGCCAGCGCCAGAGAACCGCCGTACCGGTCACTGATACGGCATTACTAGCACATGATCAAGCTATCGACGAAGGCGGAGGAAAAGAACGTACGGTGGCGTGCGGAGCATCTCAGCCGCCAGCGTCAGCGGCGAGGAAGGGGTCGGCGGAGGGTGCGGCAGCAGGGACTGGCGGCGGCGGCGGCGGCGGCGGCGACAGCGGTGCCAGCCGGCCTCCCGTTTCCAAGATGCGGCGTTTCTGGGGCCTTCAGGCTGTTTTCCTTTTCAGCGGACTTTGGCACATCCTAATATTCTGGTAGGTGAAGGTGGGGGTCGGGGCGGGCCGTTCACGAAAACCATCAAAAAGCGCATCAAGGACATGAATCGTCTGTTAGGGTTTTAGTGTTGGGAGGCCACAGGTCGAGATGCCGTCATATGTCCTTTTGCCGTTCTACGAAGTGGAAAATAGCAATGAACTGCTGCATAAGCAGTACATGGGTGATATGAACAGGGAGCATCGCCTTTACGCTCCGTACGGCCGTACGTTCCTGCCTTGCCGTACACGTCTGCAGGTACAATACCCACGTGTTCAGCTGGCGCTGGTGTGCGTTCTTCGCTATTCAGGTATGTACACACACACGGGGTGGGATATGAAGTAACATAGCTCCTCTGGACTTCACAGCAGCTGACAAATATTGCAAGCATGGGAATATATTGCCAGCAGCATGGACTGACAGACAGGCAGACAGACGGACGCAACCGCTAAACTTCCCCAGACCCGTCGGGGGAAGCACACACATGTACGGGACTGGTGCGCTTGGTTCCTGTGGCCCCGCACCTCGTCCACCGTTTGACCGTTGTAACTGTCACGTGGCGACCGAGGAAAGCAACAAAGCTGTACGTTGTCATTTTCCCCTCTTTCCGCCCCCCCCCCCGGAGGGGTTTCCCCCCCCCCGGACCCCTCAACCCCGCCCCCGGTGTGTCTCCAATAAGGCCCCCATACTCATGACGGAGCAACTAATGCGACACCTTGGTCGGAGGATAGGCGTCCGCATGCCCCGCGCCCTACAGGTAACGCCAACGCGCTGTACAGGCGCCGCCGCACGGTACTGTAGTACGGATAGCGCGTTCAGACATGGGTGTATGTACGACACCGGTGCGGGGGCGGCGCCGCAGTCCCCGGGGCCCTGTGGCCCCGGGAGGAGGGTTTTTACCGATCCACAAACTGCACACTGCCCGCCCCACCTTAACCAACCACACATTCGGTCCAATGCACATCCACACCTACATAATGTAATCTAGCCTTGTATATTACTCCTCCACCTTTTGTACCTCCCGCAGCATCCGCTAACCCCACAACCCCGCCGCATCCCCCATATGCCGCGTACATACACACACACACCGCACTCGCAGATCTTCATGGCCAACTTTTTGCTCATCGTAGTGGCCAGACCTCTTTTCTTCGGGCCCACCGACACGACGGGCTTTGCGATGCGCAATCTGGCGGTGGGTCAGGCGCCGCTGTGGGCGCTGGCAGATCTCAGCCGCAGGGCGCTGGCACGCTTCTAACGCGAGTTGAAGTTGCGAAGATGGCAGTGGAGATAGGCTCAGGATAGGATTCGTACTTAGCACCGCGCTGTAGCTGTAGCAGGCCGATACCGTTTCGTTTGGGAGGTGGGCGGGGTGCCCTTCAAGCAAGTGATGGGCGGCGGAGAAACGTTGGGTGTTTACAGATGTCGTTCCGGGGGCGGGGGGTTACATCGGCGGGCCGTGTGAGGTACTTCGGTGCAGCTGGTTGTTTATTTGCAGCGGACGGTCTGGGCTGGGCTAGGTAGGTTTGTAGGTTTGTAGGTAGGTAGTAAGTGGCTTATACGCAGAGAGAGAGAGAGAGTGTGTGTGAATGATTACAAAAGTGGAAGAGTTGGTAACCCGGCGGAAATAAACAACTTGGGAGTTCCCGTGCTTGCTCGGGGGGATCCAAACTTCGTGCTATCCTTTTTTGTCGTTTTCCTCCTCCACGTGACTGTTGTTGGCAGTTGAATGCGAGGCAGGCAGATTTCCGCTGTACACAGCAGGTTAACGTGTGCCTTGGCGCACAGGTATGCGGTCGGCGGAAGGGAGGCCAGCGGACGCAAAAGCTGCACACCTCCGCCTTCACCACCTAGGCAAGACGAAGAATGAGCGTGTGCGATATATAAATCGGTTTTAGTATCGTAGTTTAATGATTGTATTGAAATGACGTACGACACGATGGGTTGCATCCCTGTGCGCACATCTTCAATGGGGATTGTTACCGGAGCAACGGAGCAACAGCTGCTCCAGAAGCGCATGTCTGACATCAACGTATTGGTACCCCGTTCAGTTGCAAGACATGCTCATCCTTGCATGCGTCCCCACGCAGCCGCAACCCTCACGTGGCGCTCCTTGGCGCCCAGAGTGAGGACGGCAACGGCCACGTCCACGGGCAGGGGAACGGCTAATAATGGCACATGGCGACCTGGTGGCTCAGGCACCTCCGCGGACCTCCCTGGTTCTCAGGAACTAAATCTCAGGAACTAAATCTCAGGAACTAAGTCAGATTCGGATGAAAAAAGAATATGTACGTGTCCACAATTAAAAGATCTACATGTTGACATACGGCTAATTAAGCAGCCCCTCGCACAAATGTGTCCGGTCGTACTTCGCGAATAAAGTGTTCGTACATCGTCCTAAAAAAGCCAGGAGCGAATTTTGCCGCGCAGATGCGCGCGTGCGATTCACAAAATGCGCCTGTACAAGTGTATATAAATTTTCTTGGCGGATGAGGACCACGTGCGCCAGCGCGTTGCGCAAGTGGGCATGTTGGCCATAGCCGCACGCGGCATGCATGCTGGACTATTGCCTGGATGCTTTGCAGTAACTGAAAGCACCCAATGCCAACGCCCTAGCTTGCAACTCTGGGCTCGTGAAACTACCGCGGAAGATGAAGCGCTGGCGAAGAGGCAGTTGTATGCAGCACCTTGTTCAGAGTAAAGTCAAATTACAAAGTTGCGCAAAGTATAACATACATAAACTTAATTAAACATAAGAACAGATAAGACGTTTAGAGCCTTGTCGGTGACATGGACGCCGCTGTTGGCTTGGAACAGCTATTTGCTGTGCATAGGGACGTGCCCGCGTTAGCCGTGTTGCAACAGCTCAGGATGGATTTCAGCCAGCAACAGCCTCAAGAGCTGCTGCACAACCACCGGGAATGTCTTCAGTTGGGCACGTGTAGTTTTGGTCGGCGGGGTCGAGCAACGTACGCAATGCGCACAGAAACCAAGGTGCAGCGTTCTGTAACATCGCCAACATATCCGGTACGGGGTGGCAGGCTTGCCGAGCACGAAATGAAGGGGGGGTCGCATCTCACCATTCAACTAAGCATGCATGTGCTCGGTTGAATGCTCGGTAGCGTGCGAGTTTACCCCTATCAGGATGTTTGTTTGCATATCCCCCCAAGCGAGAGGGCTTGCACCTATGCTGATGTTCGTTCCAAGAAGTGAACTGAGGACTGATGCTACGGTGAAAGATTTGCACGTAAACTCGCCCGTGCAATAAAACGCCCTGTAACTCGCTTACGCTAATCCCACATTCCAATATGCCACTGCACTTTCCTCTCCAACCTGGCCACATTCTCTTCCTCGCAAACGTACTTGGGCACCTTACAATCCAACACCATACGTGCATTAGAAACGCGGGCAGCTGCTTCACAAGGACCCCCCTATTTTCGGGCTCTCGAGTTCTGACCTGGTTACACTTGGGATTGAGGTGTACGGCTCACACGCATCAGGCTTACAGGCAACCAACCCATGGTGCAGCGGCCTTCTTACGTACCTAAGTCGTTAGGGACGGTATCCAAAAGCTGAGAGCCAAGAGACTTTAGCGACGGGTTTTGTTGGGATGAGAAAACCTCGCAACGCCGTACCGTTTTTACACATCTCGCATGAATAGTAAGATACATAGGTACATAAAACGAGTTAAGAATACGAATCACTTGATAGCAACATCTCAACTTTTGCAGCCACCTGTGCAGGCTAAGTGTCCAAACCGGCCAGGAACCTGAAACTAACCGTCCCTGCTGCCCGCTGTGGTACATGACGGGGATGTGGGACGTGACTTGACGCGGCCACTACCTGTGGGCTACAACGAACAAGTTAACCGTCATCCACATCTGCAAATCTCGTACAACCACCTTGCATGCCGAACGACAACTGGAACTTGCAAGGTTGGGAAACACACTGACACCAAATAAGAATGTGGGGATAATCTCAAACTCTACGGCATGGTACGCAAACCTCGCCTACTCATCGCTACCAAGATGCTTCTCCCGGCCTTCCAGGAATCCAAGGCGCTATATTGCAAGAGACTGGTGGAAATATTTCGACCCTTCTCAAGCATACTTGCCAGATAATCTTCCCTCTCCAGGGACTAAACTGAAAACCCCTGAGCGACTAATCCCTACAATCCCGATTTCACAGCGTCCCTTCACCTCCAAACCCCTGTTGATGATGAGGAGAAAGGAACGAAAGGCTTTTCAACTCCCCGGCACGCCTGGGGCGGCTGTGTACGGCCGCCCTCCCAAACCTGACCCGGAGGCGGCGGGGAAAGTGATATATCCTGCATACGTGGCTTGATGCACATGTTCTGTGCATGAGCAACCACCAGGGAGTCGTGTATGGGTGAGCATGTGTGTTCGTCCGGCAAAACCCAGATCAGATTGGTATGAATATGGGGTGTGTAGGCATGCATGTGTGCCAAGCGACAAACATTACGTTGCTCACGCTAACAATAGACACGTCCTTCACGCACAGCAACAGAACGGCGAAGTGGGACCAGACGGCGCTAACGCGGTTCGGCAGCCACTTGCGTAGAACGAACACCCTTCCGCCCCACACGGGCCAGGGCTCAAAAAACCAACAACAACATCAACTCGACCAGCGTCAAGCCTCGTCAAGTCTGATACAACGCAGCAAACACATGCACACATACACGCACATATACGTAATAGTCACAACTTTTAAAGCACACACACACACACACACACACATCGCAGAAAATTAGTGTGGAGAATAAGCAAATACCTGATGATCATCGCCTCGCGGCGTTTGCCGTAAGCGCGGAGCGCGCAGCACAGATCCGCCACTGACTGTATTATAACACGACTGAGGATTGGGCAAATTTAAAAGACTGTCCACTCCATCTCTTCCCTAAAAAAAGGGTAAAAGAAAGAGAGGTATCTGAACCTGCAGTTGCCTCCCCCCTTGAGCCCCAAGAAAGTCCATTCCCCGACGCCACAAGGGGCACACACAATATGCGAACACAGCCTAGAAATCAGCTCCCCCGGTCCCGCACGTTGTCGGAAACCCGTTGGCCACCTCAACACGTGCCGGCCATCTGTACGAAGGACGGACGGTACACAGCTGCTTGTTCCAGCTCATTCGCAATTTGGATCGGAACTTGGCTCTTGATGCTGATTGTAAGAAGGTTCTGTCAGACAGCCATCGCATACAATCATTACCTACGTGCCTTTCCGATCCAATTCCCAAACCAACACAACCCGTTACACACACGCAAACACACCAGCAATCACGACTGCAGGAGAGAGGCAGACCGGACCATTTTGGAAACAGCAAAGGACTTTCTTCGCGGCCCCCATACAACGTGCACTCGCACCAAATGCTTACAGCGGTGGGCGCTGATCCCCTCCCTGTACCAAAGGCCATACACACACACAGACAGACAGACACACGCCTCAGCCTGGGCCTTTCACACCCCGGCGGTTCACACCCACTAGGTCAACACGCGCACTTTGCACTTCCAATCTGGCCCATAAGCATGCGAAGACACACGCATACATACATACTATATGCATACACACACACAGACACGGGTAACACCTCCAAACCTCGCCTCTTCAATCGTTTGTGCCCCCCTCCTCAGTCAGCCACACGCCTCAAGTGCACATGCACCTGTACCGTATCCGCCACACTTCCTTTCTTCGTACGCCTTTTCCATGTGGGTGCGGTAGCATCGTCGTCCAATAACGCCCACTGACCCCTCCAACCCCACCCAGCCGCACGACCGGCTCCCGGCGGGCCCCCAACGCCCTTCCCCACCTTTCCCTGAATACTCCCCTCCAACCCGCCTTTCGCTTATTTCGTATCCTGCACGCCCCTTTGGCACAACGGCACCAGTAGTTGAGAAGAATGATCTTTCCCAATGGGCCTAGACTGGGTTGAAAGGAGCCAAGGGCCGCACCCCACCACCGTAAGCAGTTGGCGTGGTCGTAAGCACCTACCACCACAGCCATCGCCATTACCTACTTTTCCCAGAGCGCTTTACTTTTCCGGGGTCTCTCTCTACTGCCCCCGCCACCTTCCACTTCATACCTACTGTACGCCGCCATTTCAATAATTATCGGTCTCCTACCGACAGACACCTGAGAGCCCTGGTGGAATGGATTTGGGTGGGGTGAGGTCCCGGGAGGTCTGTCGCCCCGTACCGCCCCGTACCGCGCCACTCTACATCGGCGCACGATCTTTGCTACGATTGCAATATGGAGAACTGCTGGGCGTCATACTCTGCTGCTGCTGCTACTGCTGCAGCTGCTGTTCCTCCGACTTACCTCCCTTACCCTCCACCTTACCCAACCCTACCACCAACACCATCCAGCACGTCCTATTGGCCGTGGACCCAACCCGACCACACGGCGCGCTCAGCGCTCACAACTGCTGCTGTTGCTGCTGCTGCTATCGCTGCCGCGGTATTCCATATGTCTGGAAATTGATTAAAAGGCACCACTGCTGCTGTTGCTGCTGCTGCTACTGCCGCCGCTGCTGTCATTGCTAATGGCGTCTATTGTTCCGTCCTCCTCTGTCCGCCTCTCCCTCTCCCTGGCTTCTCTCCACCAAGCTCCTCCCCTGAGCTTTCCCCCCTTCGACGTGGCCACGTCTATGCTGCCAGGAGAAAGCCATACCCAGGAGACACGAGCTCCAAGGTAGCGACGAGACATGCGGACATTGCCACTGCCCCCGGGCTTCCTGCCCTTCCCCCTCCCCTTCCCGCGCCCCCACTTCTCCTGCGGCAAACTAACTCACACGTGTACATGCAAAGCAAGGGGCTACCCGTACAATCCCCGCAACCGTCTCTGGCGGTGTGCTGGGAAGAGGGATGCTGACCCAGACAGGGACGTCCAAACGTAACGAACACGTCGTATGAGGACGACCTCACCCCCCTTCCCTTCCGGAGGGTTGTTCCATAACCACTACCACTGCCGCCACCACTACAACCACCATCACCACCACTACCACCATTACCGCCGCAACAATGGACTTCACGACGTGCTCGTGATTCCATGATGGCCATCTCGACAATCCATAGACGTCTATGGACCCATGTGATCCATACGACGTCTGCCACCGCATCCGGCATGGCCACCAACGCAACACGACGCCGTCGTCGTTATTCGCTCCCGGTGGCGAACACAACGGCCGCCGGCTACATTTAGAGCACAGCTACACCTGGCGACCGACTTGCAGCCACACGAAGCCGCGTTGGACGGCTAAGTGGTCACATAGATCTCCCGCATTCAGTTGCGTTGTCCTCTGCCCTGTTCCCTCTCGCCCCGTGGCTAACCCTCTCCCCCAGATATGCATGGCGCATTCCTGGCTACCAGCGGTCAGGTGCATCACCCATTCCGTCGGTTCTGTGCGATGCTATCGTTTTTCTACGTGACACCAACACTTTTCTGTGCGAGATACTCTTATCGTGCTACGACCAGTTCTGTACAGAAGATACAAAAACAGACCCTCCCAACCTCATCAATCTCACTAAAGTCGCCGCCTTGCAGATGGCCGGCCTGACACCCAAAAGCCGTCTCACAGCCGTAGACTGGCCGCACAGGGCCCTGGTGGTGCTCTCCCCTCAGACCCCGGTGGCTTTAGTGGCTCGGGTGGCGAGTCCCTAACTGTCCGTCATCTAGCATGCGGGAGGCGCCAGGAGTGGCGGTCGACGTACCTCTGCTCTTTCTCTTGCGGTGCGGTGCTCCTCCCTTAGCTTCCATATGGCAGCGCCTCTGTCCTCTCAATATAAAGGGGCACCTGAGAGGTCGCAGAGGACTACCACCGCTGTAAACCAGACGCACAAACGCCCACAAAAAGCGCACTAGGCGAAGTGTAGGACTAACAAGTCGATACGTTAAGGGGAACCGACTGCCTGGTACAGCTGGCCGGCCTGCACTGTTTCTAATGTGCAACGGTAGCCCCTCCCTTCTCCTCCTCAACCTCTTCCCCCTTCCTAGTGTGCGAACCCCCTACTACCTCCCCCGCAGTGGTGCACTGCTGGTGCACACCCAAGCTGACTGGCAACTGACAAAACTGGCTTGCGTGCTCCGACTAAGGAGCTCACAAGCTAAGAAAGTGATTTTGGCTGACTTGCTCCCTTGTTGAGAGGCAAGGGCCAATTCACGTGGTGGTGGTGGTGGTGGTGCAACATGTCCTGTCGTGTCATGTCATGATGTGTCGTGTTGAAGACGCAGTCTTCACTCGGCCGATCCATCGAAACCCTCTTCCCTCCGCCCTAACCCCCGCAGGCCGCTCCGCGCAATCGGAGCGAAACCTCCCCCAGCCCAAGTTACTGCGGAAGTCGCCTGTCGGCTCCTAGAGCTCTACACCTGCAATCTGTGGCCCTCCCCCCTCCCTTCCTCCCCTTTTTTCAGGACTGACTTTGCAGGATTGACTTTGCCGCGCTGACTGAGACTGAGACACGCTCTGCCGGAACCCAGCTCCTTCTGTCCGTTTAAAGGTTACGAAAGCAGAAAGACGACAAAACTGCCACTTGTCGCTCTTAAACGCCCAGATGCAAGAGCGGGAGCCGGAGACGGAGGAACGCTGGATCTGGGACAGCGGCGTGCTGGATGCTGCGTCTTGGCTATCTCACCTATACCTTGAGTTGTAGGCAAGGCCGTAATCCCATGTTGCTAGTAGTAAATGAATTCCTTGGGAGGAGGACGAACAATTTTGCACCTGTGACAGTGATGGCAGGCAACATGTCAGGGAAAGAAGCAGGCAAGAGAGGATTGAGGTGAAAAAGTTGAAATGACAAGTGCATAAGGGCACGACGTATTTGATGTGTGTGTGTGTGTGTCGGGAGCCCTTTACTGCAAGCGTGAAAAGACTGGGATTGATACATTTGTTGGCGGCCGGGTCGCCTTGCCAAGACACACACCAGCAAACAAAGGAAGCGGCGGACTTTCTATACGGATATATCTACTAAACGGATCCATCTGGACCCATCTGGCCTCCAACAGCCATGGGGACCCACATGTGCGACTTGCACTCGCGGGTCCAGGGTGTGAGGGCCTCCTCCGTGTCCGCAGCAGGCGACGATGGGGTTGGTGAAGTAGGGGCAGCAGCAGCAGCAGGGGAAACTGACGGCGACCGGCTCCGGCGCGAGCCCGCAGGCCGCACCCCGGCCGCAGCTGCCGCCTTAGCCACCGCCTTCATGACCCGGCGGCGAAGTGGCTCCACCTTGCCTCGTGGATCCTGTTGTTGCTTCTCCTGCTGCTCCGGCTTCTGCTGCGGCTGCGACCGCGGCGACTGCACAGCCGCTTCTTGTTGCTGCTGCCGTGACGGCGAGGAGGGCTGTGATGCCGGCAGCGCCGCTGGCAGCGCCAGTTCCTGCGAGTCCACAACTGACGATGCCGCCGCAAGAAAGCCATGACGTAGCTGCTGCTGCAGCCTGCGGTGTACGGAAGTCTCACGCAGTAGCAGCCCCACACAGGCCAGCGACGGACCCAGCTGCAATAGCAACATCCGCAGCAGCCCGCTGGCCCCGCGGCGCCGACGCGGCTGGGGCTGAGGCTCGGGCTGCTGCTGATGCTTCTCTTGGGGTGGTTGGCCGGCTTCGCTCAGTTCGTTCAGCACGCCGTTCAGGCGCTGCGTGACCTCAGCTAGCTCCTTCTCCTTGTGGTGTAGGGACGTCTGCGCCTTGTCCAGTTGCACGTTTTGGGCGGAAAGTTGCGCCATCTGCACAGTAAAGAAGCGCCCAAAGCGCGCAATCCTTCATACATGCGTAAACATGCTTCCCAATTGAGCCATGTCCTTATTCACACCTAACATGTAATTTATAAATACTACAAATCCTAAACATTAGCAACAAACGTTGCGACACCCTGCGTTAATGGCTGACAGCGTGTGCTCCATGCTTGTCGTTTGTGCTGTTCAGCTCTCGGTACACAGAGGGACCCATGGTCCGCAGATGCAGGTGGCGCATGTGGCCTCCATGAAGCGGAGTTTACAGTAGAAGGCGAGAGGACGGAAGGAGGGCCGGCATCCTGTTTTAACTGAGAGCCAACTCCTACAATATAATCGTTTTAGAGCCGCACATACTTTGCCTTGCCAAGAGAGAGAGAGAGAGAGAGAGAGACACAGACGTATGCCGTTGAGTGCGAAACGTATGTATATGAAATGCACTGATCTGCGACTTAGCGTCGCCGAAATTTGCGGTCTGTACCGATGATCCGGTTCACCTTCCTAATCCACCGCTGCCGCCCTTTCCTTCAGTGCATGAGGAAAGGCCTTCGCGCAACAGACACGGCCGGAGCTGTCTACGACGCGCTGGCATCCTGGACGCACCGCCTACCGTAACCGTTCTGACGTTCGCATGCAAGTGTTTCTCTCAATTGCACACCCCTTGCACCTACCATTTTCGCCAGCTCGTTATCTTTCGCAAGTAACCTCTCCTGCAACGCGCCGGCCAAGTCCGCCGGCGCCGACACCGGCTCCAGGACCGCTGCGCCCGTACCTTCAACGCGGGATGCCGCAGGTGCTGTACGAGAGTTGCAGCCGTCATCATTACTACCAGCAGCAGCAGCGGCGGCTGCAGCCGCCGCCGCCCGGTTGGCAAAGGGTTCCGGCTTTCCGCCCAGCAACGTGACTGCCGCCGCCACGACGGAGCGGGGTAATAACGACGATGAGGACCGGGACGCGGTGGGAACCGCCGCATCGGCCCCGCTACCGTCTTGACGCTCATTCGCCTCCGCTGCCACCGCCTCCAACACTTGACTCGCGCTGCTGGAGTTCTTCACGCTGGGTGGAGGCGGCAACGAGACCTCTCCTCCCTCCGGAGAGGAGCCCGGGGACACGGCGGGAGAGGAGCTGGCGGAAACGGAGGTGTTGCGTGGCGCACGACCACCGCCTGCAACAGCGCCAGCGGCCGCCGCTGCTGCTGCATCTGCCTCAGCCTGCAGCGCCGCCCTCGCCGCGGCGAAATGGGAGGGACCTGCCGATGAAGTCGCGACGGGGGCGCTTCGTAGGGGCGTCTGAGGTGTGCTGGACGCAGGCAGGGTGGAGGCGGTGGCCGCTGCCACCGTTGCGACGTCACCGCCGTCAGGCGACGTCACAGTTGCAGAAGGCGGTGGCGGCGGCGGTGATGGCGGCGAAGTGGCCGTTGCTGCTGGCACCGGCGCGCTGTGCGGTCCGTCCGCATCGGCTGCTGTGGCAGCTCCGATAACTTCGCTGGCAGATGAGCGACGCAGCTGCTCTTGTTGCTGTTGCTGCTGCTGGTGATTGTGATGGTGGATACTGTGATGGTTATGTTTATGGTGATGATGCAGCTCATGGTTGTGCGCAGCCTGGAAGCTCTGCAGCTTAATCAGCACGCCGGTGAGTCGCTGTGTGATGACGGCTAGCTCCCGCTCCTTGGCTTGCAGAGAGGTCTGTGCTTGGTCCAGCTGGGCATTCTTGGTAGACAGCTGGACCACCTAAAAAGAAAGAAACACGAAAAGCAGCAGCAGGCCGTATGGCGGTACGGACCACCGTCTCAGCTCGCAACTATTGTAATCTATATTAAAATTGTTGCAATGGAACAACTGAGCCAGCTGGGTATCCAGCCATGGAACTTCCCAGGGTTAGAAGGTCCAAAATCATCATCCTACAACAGGCCAAAGAAGACAAAGCGATACCGAGCCCTAACCATCAGAAAGTACTGTGTCTTGGCACGTGCGATTTCCAGAAGCGGGCGATTCTCTACGTGCTACTGCTTGCTGCAATTGCGGTCCATTCCCTGACCTCCGAACACTCGCCTGTATACGCCCATGTACATGTGACCCTTACACAATATGTTGTCATGTCGGGAATTCATTTCGGGGCTCGATACCGTACATCATAGCGGAGACATTACAGATAATAGGAGGACATGTTTTGTTGCCTTCCAGCCCGCTCGCTTGCTAGACTTTAAATGCACGGTATAGAGCTTGCGGCTTGGAAACATGTGCGCAGCGGCATAATACTTTATACCCCAATTGCACTCACCATCGATGCCAGCTCAGTCTCCTGTGTCCGCACCCTCGCTCGCAATGTCCACAGCTCCCGCAGCGTGTCCGGGTGGTCGCGGAGGTACGCCGCCGCCGCCAACGGGTTTGAGGTCGCCGCCAGCAGGCTGTCATCGCCGCTGCCCAGCAGCTCCGCCGCATCAGCGGCGATGATATCAGCGGCCGCCAAGGCCGCCACCGCATCGACACCACCACCGGACGTCATTGCCGACGCAACGTCATCACTCGCCAGGGGATACGACCTAGCCGCCGCCGAGCTGCAGTGCGACGCCGCGCCCGGATTAGGGGGAGGTATCATGATTGGTCGCCAGGTACCGCTATTGGGTCTGGAGGCGGGCGGCGTCGCCTTGGGCGAGCCGGGCGCCCGTCCGGAGTGTGACCGACGGGTTGGGCTCAGGATACCCATGGCGCTGGAAAGCTCCGCTCCACGCCGGCCGTTGCCGCCGAAGGACCTCGTAGCGAATAGCGGTGGCACTGCCGTCGCTCCAGCGGTGCTCCGTGGGGATGACCCCTCCGTCAGTGCCATCTCGGCCGCCGTCGGGATCTGCAGCTCCGAAACCGACACCGGCATGGAGCCGGACAGCGCGGCCTGCGGATCCATTGCACCTCCACTAGAGCGGCTCCGCCGCTCCACCTCCGCAACCCGGGCCTTCACGGAAAGGTTGCCGCTGTCGGCAGCGCCACCGTCAGCGATGGCCGCAACAACCCCCCGCGGGTCCTGAGGACCAGAGGAGAGCGGGACGAACGGACCGCTGTCAGTCCCTGCCGCGGCAGCATCAGCGCCGCCGCGGTAGCGGATAGAACTGCCGCCGCCCCTGCTGCCCACGCTGGCGCCAGAAAGCGATGGTGGTGGTGGCGGTGGCGGCATCGCCGCCGTTGCCGCCAAAACCGGGGCTGCAGAACCTGGGGCAGCGGCCGCTGCCGCTGCGGCAGACCCGCTATCGCGCGAGGGTGTGACATATGCTGACGCCGTCATGTGGTTTCTCCGCGCGGCAACGGCCTCCTGACGGGTTTGAAGCTGGTCCCGTACATTGGCGATGAGGGAATGCGGCTCGTCCAAGCTCTGCGGGGTGAAGAAACAATTTGGCCAAGGGACAAGAACCGAGGTGTCAGGATGAATAGGCACGGGCGAAGCGGGGGTAAATGGATTCAGGAGGCGGGGGCCAGCGGGCCAGGGTAGATCTGGGGCCCTGGGCAGACCGATGGCCGCAAGGAATGCCGCAAAGAAATACCGTAGCTCCAGAATAGGCCGTTAAAGGGAATGGTTGCTCTGAGTTGCGCACTGGGGGAATAAGGACAAGACGAGAGCGGACCCAAAAGGCGTATGTGCGCATCCGCCGATTGTGCAAGGGAAGTGGGGAGCGTGGGCGAGCGCGGATGCGGACGAGTGCCAACCCCATCGCTGCGGGAAGATGGTGAGACATGGGATACGAGAGTAAACAAACTAAAAGATTCAGGAGTAGATTAGGGGGACATTGCCGGGATGGCCGCGACTTCTTTCATGCGCTTCCCCTCGGTCCGGGGCCACTTAACGTGTGCAAAACTGTACAAGGTTGGGGAATGTACGCTGAATGACATCAGCGCAATATTGGAACCAGCAAGGAAACGAAACGAGGCACAACACATTTCCTCATACATTCCTAGCCGCTGTATGCAACAGTGGCATTCATTACCCTCCCTCCACGATATCGGGGAAGGCAAGGTCCGTGCAATCGTGCGACGAACGCGATGGAGGAGGACATCGGTTGCCAGGCGGAAAGATGCGGCCATGCGTGATCGGACAGAATGAACGAGCACAGGCACTAAGGATGCATGTTCCATGGAGAGATGCAAAACGCAGGAGTTGCTCGGCTCAAGTTGGCGCTCCGAAACCGCAAGCACTGCCCACCTGCGCCACCTCCCGCACGCCTTGGACCACGCTTTGGAGCCGCGCACGCAGCCGATGAAGTTGCTCTGAGAACATTCCCGAGTCGGCATTGTGGCTGCGGGGCGCGCGCCCGGTGGACGGCGACCGGCCGACCTTTGCCGGGGTGGAGTAACTCTTGGAAACAGTTACGGGCCCCGAAGACGCCTGCAAAAATTATCATCAGGGATCAGGATGGAAAGAATCGGAGGGGAAATCGAGGCTGACCTCCCGTCACACTCGTCTATCATGCCGGTCAGAACAGCAAGTGCAAACAACGCAAACCACCGCACCCCAAAACACAATGTCAATCCTCGTAACAAGCAATGCTTACGGAAGTCGGCAACGCAATTTTGTTTGAGGCCAAAGGAGCGTCTTCATTTGCCTGCTCTGGCACTGAAGCAGGGGAACCAGTTTGTTCCCCAGGAGATTGCGCCGACGGGCTTGATGCCTTTGACTTTCGTTTGAACGATATACGTCCCATTCATGCCGTTTGTAGACGAATTGCGAGCTGCGTCGGGGAACAGGTACAGGTGCTTTGCAGCGTCAGAGGCCACAATGTGTAGTAATTATCGAACTAATGCAGGAATGTATACAAAGCATCGGCTATCAGAAACATTCTGAATTGCTGCGTTTGGTGGTCCCAACCAACTAGAGATCACGTACGGGCCCCACGGTCAAAGGTCGAAGAACTTCTTCTGACGTTAAGCACAGTCGAAGCGCCAGAAACATGTATTATGTCCTTCTCTATGCCAAGAGGTAAGGATGCCTTTTCTCCTGCAGGCTCCCAATCATGCAGATAGGCAAGTCAACCTGCAATCGCAAACAGAGTCCCCGGATTAGAAGCAAGAAACAGAAGGTGCGAACGTTTAGCGCTCTTTCCTTGTCTATTTAAGGAAAGCTATGCGTGGTAATGCTATTGTTGTTCTTGTTGTTGGGCGGATGAATATACAAAAAGGTTATAAGGTAGATGGCTGCGCAGAAGTTCATATTCGTTTTCCTCGTGTGTATATATGCCAATCCAACATGTACACTTGTTACTGGGTCTTGGCTCGTCCGACAAGTACTGCGAACGCATCCCACAAGAAAAAGCGAAGTCAACACTTTTTCTGTAAGGCTATCAAGCTGTAAGAGGATGGATTTCTTTCATCTGCGCCACTACGGGGGCCCTACAAGACGCTTTCCGGGCACTATCCATCCTTTGATATTCATAACGCTCATGAGCCCTCGCGACGTCCTCCATCAGCTTCGAAGACGCAGAAGAGGGGGGCTGTTATACAGCACTATAAGTTGCTCGAGTGATGTTCACGGGTGGGACCTTTCTAAGGGCAAGGATGGCTTATCGCAAAGACATGCTTTTCAGACTGATTCACCAAGGTGTCGTAAATACCCGCCCAGTGTCAGGAACAGTCTATGACAGAGAATTTCGCGGTTAAGGACGGCAAGTCACAATTGTATTGTGATAAACAAAACTGCCTAGTTTGCCATTCCTGTGACGCGGTAGTCCACAACTTACTTTCTTACAGAATGCCTTGAGGGGCTGTTTTTAAGGGGCTGTTTTGTAGGGGCTTTGGCAAAGAACATAGGGTACGCAGTTGCTTTGTGGCCCAACGCGCATCTAAGGAAATTACGAGCATGGTACTAGGCTCACAAAATACAATCCCCCACCGCCCCGGGCGCCGATAGTCGGCCGTCGCAAACGTGAAACGCACAAGCCTAAATATCCCCGGTAGGACCCTCACCTCGCAGCTTCCAGGCGACCTACAATCCTCGCGGTAAGACCGGTTCGACATATACTTAGGCTATCACATCATCGGCTGTTTTCCCCGTGCTGCACATCGGTTGGTATCAAACTCCTTGCACGGATGCCGACGCCCATTTTTGCCCTCCCCGTTCCTACCTACGGTAGCCGCGCATTTAATGCGCCCCGCGACCGGTGCACCACCCAGCCGCTGCAGGCCTTACTGCTGCTTGGTAGTTCCTAAACCGTTACGAGAAGATCAAGGCAGGCAAATCATAATTAAACTCCCAGCGCCATACACCCACCAAGCATCCGCATTCAACCAAAGGACCTTCCGGATCAAGACCAGTGCGACTTACGTGAAAGGACAAACCTGAACGCAAATTATACCTAGCAGGCACTCACGACAGGCCACACTGCACGTACACACATAATGAAAAGCAGCAGCACCCGCATCATCTACCGCCTTGGATATTATGGCAATTGGCGATGCACAAACATTCCCCACTCCGCATATCCTGTCACCTCTAAATCCAAGGAGGGGACAGGAACACGGCCCACCGGTGAAGGCAGACAGGCCCCAAAGTAGTTACAGAAAAATTCAAGTCGCTCACGGCAGACAAACCGTACTGTTTCAAATCCGTCCGGCCGACTGGCCGCCACGGTCAAAATCAACCTGCCCTCATCCCTTCCTATCACCAACGCTATCGACACACCCAGCCTCTCGGCTACATGGGCATCTCCAACGGACGACTCCCTACGGACAGTCTGGCCTCGGCAACCAGCTTATCCACCAGCGCGTTGTAGCGCTGACCAGTTTTCTGTGAGACCCACACCCTGGAGCGTTTGATCATCCTTGCGATTAGGCAGCCGGAAGGAACGTCCGCCGCTCCTCGTATCGCCAGTCAACAAGGCCAACTTCGCTGCGGATCACTCTGCAGAAGCTTCGGCGCGGTGGTGGCGAAAAGCCATACACGCAGTCCAGTTACTCTAGCAGCTGCGCAGTTAGCAGTTGCGCACCGATTCAACAATAGCGTTGGCCAGGTACTCCACCTTGGCAGAGTTGAGACCGGCCAGGGAGATGCGGCCATCCCGGGTCATGAACACAGAGTGCTTGTTGGTCATGTTGTCCACCTGGCGGGTGTTAGGAGGGGGCCCAGGGGGCCCAGACAGAGATGACCAGAGATGGTAAGGGTCCCGTGTCAAGGTCGGTCGTGTAAGAGTTGCGCAGGGACTGCGTTCAGACTGGAATCCAGAAAAGCACGGAAAAACGTTTCGGGAGGTTTCTTAAATGGGTAATCGCAAGCTTAGGTAAGGTAAATCAGCACGGAAGGGGGCCTTGCAGATTTGGTACAAGGCCCCAACATGCATGGACGCTGGGTGCGTATGACGTACTTTCCTTCAGGGCCGCAAAGACGGCGTTGAGATCGCCCAATCCCTGACCCCTCCACCCGCCGTACCTGGAGACCCACTATCCGGTCGCGGACCCTACCACCATGGGGGACCCGGCAGCCCCCTCCGTGAAGCATCCTAACCCCCTTCCAACCCCGACCTACCTGTGCAGGCGTGAGACCGGTGAAGGTGAACATTCCAATCTGCTTGGTGATGAAGGACCAGTCCTTGTCGGGGTATTTGGCCTCCAGAGCCCGCTGGAGCTCTCCACGCACCCGCTCAATGCGGCCAGCCATACCGCGCATCTCACCCTTCCACTCCTACGGTGGAGGACCGGGCATCGGGGAGGAGGTAAAGTAACCAAGGACCTAAGACGGGTGGAAGGAATTAGGAAGAAGCACCAACTGCAGACGCCAGGGAAATGCACGAAGGAAAGCGACGTGTAAACGCAATCTTAACGGACGTCAAAACAGCCTGTCTCTTTGCAGCCAAGGAAATGAGCCGCCGATGACAGGCGGACCTGCCTCTCCAGCATCATAAATCCACATTCCCAGCTCACCACCCAACTCTGTGGCAACCAGTTAATACTTCTCCCGTACCACCCCCGCACCTCGAACAGCTCCTTGTCATTGACCACCTCAGCAGCAATTCGAGCTCCGTGGGTTGGCGGGTTCGAGTACAGGGCACGGGCCAGGCGCTTCAGCTGGCTCAGACACCGAGTGGCAGGCTGAGGGCGCAGCAAAAGAGCCAGGAGCATCCGTTAAGTCAGAAGTCAGCAGAGGACGAAAAAGAGGCAAAAATCCACGCGAGAAGCGGATACGTAGACTATACATGCTCCAAGTCAGGCAAGGCCAACAAATGAATTCCCAAGGATGATTTAATACTTTGGGAAAACGGAAGCTTTGTGTATTTAGGGATGAATGGATTGGAGACACGACAAGGTACCTGATCCAGTCAATTAACTATGACTGCGGCAAGTGCGTACACCCAGGCCGAAACAGGCAAACGCGTGCACAACCACCCCCACCTCCGCGATGTCACCGAGACGCCGTACGCCCACCCCGCAAACTAACCTCCTTGTCCTTGAGCACCATGACCAGAGCACCCACACGCTCGCCGTACAGTCCCAGGTTCTTCGAGTAGCTCTGGGAAACCATGATCTCCAGACCCCGGTCCACAAAGAGGCGGGGGGCAAAGGCGTCCTTGTCCAGGTCACCAGTGGCGAAGCCCTGGACAGAGGGCCCGAGATACCGAGGTCCAGAGGAACAGGCAGGGACAGGTGAGCCATATTTTCATGCTGGATATGGAGACAAAATGGATGACATAATAACATCGAAACAGTTGCATATGCTTGATAGGGCCCAGATGAATTGTGGAACAAGGAGGGGTCTTGTCCATCCCCCCACCAAACCAAAAACGGAATCGCATCCAGCCAGACAAACCACCCTTTTAAAGCACCCAAAACCTTCCAAACAAAGCCCTAAGTTAGTTGACCTTGACACTACGCTGATAAAGGCCCCAGCCCCTTTCCGGCAACCTTCGCAGCAGGAAAGGCTCCAAAGCGTTTCAGCCTTCTACCTCGGCCACGACTATTCCCTTGCCAATTAAACCCGCATCCTTCAACAGCTCCGTTATACAACACATACCCTCTCGACTCGACACTACACATAACATATCGATATGTACGCGCACGCACCTGATAGGCCACATCGAAGAAGGGCAACAGGTTGCGCTCCTTGCACAAGTCCGCAATGGCGGTCCACTGCTCGGGGGTCGGATCGACGCCCGTGGGGTTGTGTGCGCAGCCTACCGGGGTATGGGGTAAGACGAACCACTGACGATTGAAACAAACACCAGAGATAAGACGGATACTCCAGGATTAGGCAGATACAACAGGAAGAATTTAGGGAAGTTACCGACCAGTTGTGACTTGGGTTATGGGGGTAAAACGAACCACTGACGATTGGGGGGTGGCGGATCAGGGCGTGCGGAGGCCAGAATAAAGCAAGCAATCCGGACATGTGGCCGAGGAACAGACGGCACGGGTTCGAGGGACTGTAAGGGCATATGTGATTCGACGGCTAGCGAGATCTCCTCATACAAACATGGCAACGTGCGACATCGGGTCCGCATCTGCCCTTCAATGTGGTGTGCACCTACATGTGGCGCGGGCCTTGTCCTTGATTCATTCAGCAAGAAGAGCTCCTGACAGGAAGGCTTGTTCCTCCTCTTTACAATCCTACTGTTTTTCGAAATTCCGCCATGGTCTTCATCACTAGCCACCCAATTGCTCGGGCCTCCCGCTACATATTCCTACCCAACACCCCATCCACCGCCACACCTTATCTGTCATTTATCCGCCCCTACTACCACCACCCGTCGTATTCCACCCACCCACCCACCATGCAGCACCACCACGGAGCCAGAGGGAGCCGCCTTCAGGTCCTCCATAAGGCCCTTGAAGTCCAGACCAACAGTGTCGGCATCAAAATACCTGTACAGGCAAGCCGGGGAATATACAAAATAATATATCGAGGTAATGGTGTCTAAAACCATCGACAACCTGATCAGGTAAGCAAGAATACAATTTCATTACATGCCGATGGGAGGTTACTAAAAAAACACTATCAAAGGCCGATATGCACATGCCAACAAGCCAAGACGCCATGGACGGATGTGACAGGATGTGCAGTAAGCTCCATGTTAAAAAATCCACAACAAGCGTCCATGGCAAAAATGCGTGTATGATACTGTGTGCGTGTACGATGTATGTGTGTAGTTCACACATCCTGAACCATGCACGTATCTGCATGTGTCGCATCTGCGTGTGCCTTCCCCCACATTGTCCTCTCTGTTTGTGTTATACATGTCTGCCCCCGTGTCATTCGTCTGTCTATCGGTCCGTCTGTTTCCCCTGTCCTCTTTGGTACCCTACCACGAAGCGGGACATATGATTACTTAATTGCATAAATCCAGCATTGGGGGGAGGTCACAACCGCAGTGCGCAGTGGGAGAGCGAGAACGGGAGTGAACGGGTCCAGGGGGATATGGACCGTTTTCTCCCCGTCCCCATCCCCACCCCGCACACACGCGGACACTGTTTTCAGTTCCGCTTTGTGCGCACCTGTAGTACTCCCACTTGACACCCTCGTCACCAAAGATGTTGCGGTGGTTGCCCCAGGTCGGGTTGGAGATGTAGACAGTAGCGCCCTTGAGGAAGCGGGCGATGAAGGCAGCACCCACACGCAGAGAGCCGGTGCCAGACAGAGACTGGATCACCGCCACACGACCCTGGGAGAACGACGACGACAACAACAACCACAGCAATACTATTGATGAAGGGAGGAGGGCAGAAGGACAGTAGGAAAGGAGGAGGCACAGTGTTGGTATGGCCTGGCCAAACACGCCGGTCGTACCTTCCCCACCGCAGCCACAACCACCGTTCTTTTCCCTCAGGCCCACCTTCTCATCTGTCCCAACCCACCCTCCCTCGTCGGTTTCACTTTCGCCCTAACCCCAGTACCACTGGCACCCTTCTATACCCCTTAGCCTAGCCATCCTCCCTTTCCCATCGGTCCCATCATTGCTTTCCACTCCGCTGCCGCAGAGACCTTAATCAGCCCCACCTCCTTAATGGCCGGATGACCAGCACCCAGCAGCAGGTCCACAGTGGCCTTACGGAAGGGCTCGAAACCCTCAATGGACAGGTATTCTTTGTTCTCATTGCGGGAGAAAATCTTAGCCTCGGCCTGTAGCCCGAAAGGCGGACAAGGAAACGAGCAGGAGAGGCATGTATGTGAAGGATGCTGGCTACTGTTTCGCGCGGAAAATGGATGGTGTCGCGGACGGGCCCAGGATCTCACGTTTGCGGCGGCACAGGGAAAGGTGAAGGCGATGTACGCAGGAGGGCTTACGTGAGCTGAAAATCCTTTGGGAGTCAGCTGGGGAGAACCCTGACCTACAGGCTTGATAAGAGGATATCGGCAGCATTTTCAGCGTCGTGTGTGCTGCGTGTGTCCCGGGATTCGCCATGTGAGCTGCGGGAGTTTTGCACTACCAAAAACGAACTGCTAAAGGCGGTTCGCGTTTAGCGTGCCGCCCACCTTCTTCACCACGCTCAGCACGACAGGCTTCAAATCCTCATCCCGGTACGCGCCCACGCCGAGATTAAGCTTGCTAGGGCTGGTGCTTGCGCGGAAGGCCTCCGAGACGCCCAAGATCGGGTCCGGAGGAGCCTGAGCCACATCAGCAAAGCGGCTCATGCACCTGACCTGCAGGGCAAGACGGCTGCGAGAGGCACCCACCTGCGGCAGCGGATTTGCGTACCAACATATGTCAAGTATGCCGCCGATCACGTGCCCCCGAATCAATCAAGACTAGGTTGGACCCCAGTCGAGTAGATCAAGCCTGAATAATTGATCAACAACACCTAAGGACCTATTAGGATACCGGGACCAACTTACATCGCAAATGTGAGCGCCGACGCGGCGCGAAATGACCTGCTGCATTTTGGTAAAGGCAAACAGCATGACCCGACCAGAGTAGTAATTACTACAGAGACGCGAAGCGCATGTGTGACAAACGGCACATCCAAAATAGCGATCCGAGTTCCTATGAAAGTCACGACATAGGAACCAAATCCAAATCCGTCGGAAAAACTTCCGAACACCTGCAATCGGAGCAAAACATCCACGTTCATCCTTTATATAATTAGTGCTATTCTGATAGTCTATCACGTATGAGCGATGACGTTGCTGTCTTGGAACGAAGCAGTTGCACTTTGCAGGCAAAGCGTTGAAGCGCCCTGTACAGAAGAACATGCGGGAAGAGCAATAGGTACTGGTAGTAAAACTCATCAACGACCCTGTTTGCCTGCAGTCGTCTTGCCTTCCCAAGCCGCACGTCGACTACTGCGGCACCTGCTCAGCACGCAGCACGGCATAACCCATCACCACAGCGGGCCATCACTTTTACAGCCAGCGGGGTCCTGCGAGTTCCCCCCCCATGAAGCACAGCCAGATGCAAGCCAGGGCGTCCGTCACGCAGTGCTGGACGCAACGGCAGCGACCGCGAGGCCGCGCTACGTAAACCCCGGCCCTCCAGGCAGGCCCCCAAACCCTTTGCAGCCATCGGCCAATGGTGCGCCAGAAGCATATCCGGTTGCGCAGTCAACTGCAAGGGGCTCCCCACATTTCCGCGTGCCGCCGCGGAAAGCTGAAGGCTACGCCGGGGACGGTACCGCAGGAACTGCATCCCCGGCGGCCCCAACCCCGCCAGATCCCGCACACCCACCCGCATCCATGCAGCCCGTCGCGTTGCCGCCGCTGCCAACGCAGACGGCACGGCTCGGTACGAACCCCCCAGCTGCATCCCCGAGCGTGTCGCCATCCACACTCATACCTACCGTTGCCGCCGCCGCTGCAGCCGCGATTATGAGGCCTCCTCCTCCTCCGCCTCCTCCCTCAGAGGCGCCGGGTAGAGTCCCACCGCCAGCGTCCGCACCCAGGCCCCGGCCAAAAAACGAGTTGCGGCACCTGCAACAGCTGAACCATCGAGCCCGCAAACGGCGGCAGCAGCAGGAGGATCACGGTGGCGGGCAGGACGGGGCCGGGCAACGGAGGCCCGCAGCAAAACGGCGCAAGGCCGCGGCAGGCGCCGGTGCCGGTGGTGCAGCCAGCAGGCCTCCGACGAAGAGCCCGGCAGAGGAGGAGGAAGAGGAGGAGGAGGACGGGGAGGAGGAAGACGGGGATGCCGGGCGAGCTGCTGAGGTGCTGGTTGGTGATGACGGGGTTCAGGGCGTTGGTATAGGAGGTGGAGAGAGGGAGGACGGCGCAGGCGCAGCTGGCGCCGGCAGTGGTGGCGGCGGCAGTGGCGGCGGTGGCTTATCCACGGGCAGGGCGGATCACGCTGGTGCCGCCGAAATCACTCCACCCATCCGCGACTCCTCAGCCTTGCGCCCTTCTCGCATGCGGCAGCAGCTAAAACAAGTGCAGCATCAACGGCATCAGGAGCATCAGGAGCAGGAGCGGATGCAACAACGGCCGCAGGAGCAGGTGCAACAGCAGCATGAAGAGCGGCAGCAGCAGCAACAGCAGCAGGTGGAGGAGGAGGCCGTCGAGGAGGAGCGGCAGCTAGTGCCTATCATCCAAGTACGACGCAACAGAAATCTATCCGGGCTGGCGTCAGTTGGCGTAGCTTCGCTCGTACAGCTGGCCGTGAAGCGACCGAAAGGCCATGGTTCCGGCGGCGCAGCCAAGCCGGGTTCAGCGGCGGTGGCGGCGGCGGCGGCGCTGGACAGCGAAGCGCAGGCGAAGGGGATTGAAGAGGAAGAGGAGCAGGAGGGCGCAGCACGGGTGCTAGCTCCGTGGCTTGGGAGCGGCTTTTTGGGACATGGCGCACTGCCGGCCAGCCAGCCGCGCCCGTCCGAGGATGTCTGGGCAGCTGACGTGATGGCCGGTCTTAGCGCCCCCGACGACGTGCGGGGCGCAGCTAGTCGTACTGTTGCGGTGGCTAGCGGCGCCATCGGCCCTGAGGTGGCGGCGGCGGTAGCATCGGTTCCGGCAGGATCTGCACGGCCTCGCGGCCCGTTGCCGGCGGCAGCCACCGTAGCGGCCGTCAGAGCCGCTGCGGCGGCGGCGGCGCCGCCACCGTTGCCGTCCGGTGCGGCGGGGATGCAAGCGCCGGCTGCGGTTGCGGTCACAACCGGTGGAGGTACGTACGGCGGCACGGGTGCTGGCGCGGACTGGTTGACCTGGGCAGCTGAGGAAGACGAAGGAGGGCCCTGTGGTCGTACAGATCCGGCTGTGGACCTTGCAACCGGCGCCGTACACAATCATATTCCCCACGTTGCGTCGTCAGATGCGGCAGCGGTAGCCACAGCGCCCGTGGCATCGCGCGCCTTGAGAGGGTCGGAGGGAACCGATGGAGGCGCGGCACCGCCACAGTCACAGGAACTGGCTCTTGCGGCGGCTTCAGCGCCGACGTCGGCGTCGCACCTGGACTCTGCTGTCGCACCTGGCGGCGGCGGCGGAGGCGACGACGTCAAATTGGTTTCGTCGACGTCGACATTCGCAGTTGCGGGTGGGGTTAACGAAACCAAGGCTCAGTTCGGGGCGTCCGCCGTCCCGTCCTCCGTACGGGGCAGTTCATGGTTGCATCAGCAGCTGGGGGATCCCGTCTCAGTGCCGCTGAAAGGTCAGCAGCCGACACAGCTCAAGAAGGAACAGGAACAGCAGCAGCAGATGCAACTGCAGTGGCGGCAGCAGGTTGGGGATGAGGAGATGGCCTGGGCAACGGGGCTGCCGCCGCCGCGTCCGGCGGAAGGAATTCATCTTGAGGAAAGCATTGCGGAAGAAATGAAGGAGGAGGAGATGCAAAGTAAAGGGTTGTACAGCCAGGACGACGATGATGATGATGATGATGATGATGATGATGATGATAATGACGATGGTGACGATGAGGAGGAGGGGTACTACGCAACCATAGCTCAATGGGCGCCGTCGCTGGCGTATCATCCAGCGGACGTTGGCGGCGGCATGGACCGCGACGCGGAGGAGGTGGGCCGCGGAGGGCGAAGTCGCGGCCCCGGCAGATCTGGGCGTCAGCCCCGCGGCCGAGACCGCGGCGCGCAGGGCGACGGCGTGCAGGGGAAACAACAGCAACAGAAGCAGCAGCAGCAGCAGAAGAAGAAGGATCGCAAGCAGCAGCAGCAGCAGCAAACGCAGCGGCTGTCAGGCCGTAAGGTAGGCCGACGGGTTGTCGTGCGTGACGTTTGCGATGGCTGGATTGCGGAGATACCGTACTTGTGGGTGCCGCGTCTTTGCACGCGCCATATAAAATAACGCGGCACGTCTGATGCTGTGTCCCCCAAAACGTAAACTTGATGATAACAAGATGCATATTAGCCGTTTCTTACAAGCCTCTTTACCGGGACTTACGAACTTACAAACTTCCATCCGCAGCGAGGTGCTGCTGGACAGATATCTGCCGCCGTCACCGGCGGCACTGCGGGCGCCGCCATGGCGCCGGGGACGGCGGCGGTTACGGCCGCAGCAACGGCCGGGGGTACGGAAGTGGGCCTCTATGCCGACGTTAAGGCCTTCCAGCGGCAGCAGCGCAAGGCCCGCTTCCTTAATGGCGGCGCCGGACCGGAATCCACCAGGCCTGTGCCGGAAATTCGCGGCCCGACGGAGTGCAAGTGAGTTTGGATGACCAACAGGAACAAGACAGAGCTATTGCGTCGACATAAACACGGGTCCTTGTGTGGGATCTCGTATGTTGAAGGAGGCGAAGTGGCTGCAAGAAAAGACGCCTGCGTTCCAAATTAACATGTGCCACTGCGCGGCTACCTTGCTTTCCCCGCGCCGCCGCAATGTGCTCAACGGAACATTCCCAACAACGCCGCCTCCTAACCATGTGCGGTCGTGAGACCCCCCGGTGCCAAGTATTCATAACAACGTGTTCTCATCTCCCAGCACACGGACGTGCCACCACGCTGCCAACCTCTGCTGTCTCTCTCTCTCTCTCTCTCTCTCTCTCTCTTTCTCTCTCTCTCTCTCCCCACGCCTCTCGCTTTCTAAGGGCTTTTCATGCTCGTATTCTGTTGAACGTCTGAGCTTGGTTATTTTCTCCTCCACCCCCCTTAGCTCTTCTCTAGTATCCATCTATCTCCTGGTATCAGCATCACTCGTATGCGGTTCGTCTCCCCTATACCCTTTCCTCTGCAGGTTCTGGCGGCTGGGCCGCTGCGCCAAGGGCGCTGACTGCGCCTTTGCCCACGTGGGCCGCCCGGTGACCCGCCTGCTGCCCTGCCGCTTCTGGCGCCAGGGCCGCTGCCAGCGCGGCGAGGTGTGCAGCTTCAGCCACGACCCGCAGCTACCGGAACCTTGCGGCGGCTTGCTGGAAAACGGTGGGTTAAGGGGCGGGAATGATCTTCAGCTGGTGTAGGAAAGGAGGCGACTTTGCGGATTGTGTGTCCTGGCAGAGGCTGGTGTTGGATGAGGGTGTTGTTGTTATGCCAGATATTAGAGCGAGGTTTGACTAGGTGTTTTAAAGAAAGATCGACTAACTGTGACTGTGAGAGATGCGGCGATGCCACGAAAGATGTTCAGAAGCTCGTTCCCAGACATACATACAGAGGACGGCAAGAGTTGTGTGTGTGGGAGGGGGGGCCGAAAAGCGAAAGCCAAGGTATCGTTAAATGTGCATCAGTGCCTCTTCCGTGAATGGATGAGATGTCTTACGGCTGCGATATGTGCTGCATGGTTCCTTAGGCGCCTGCCCAGACCCGGAACACTGCCGTCTGGGCCACTACACACCCGAAGACATGGACAACCTGCGGGAGTACTTCCGAGACGTGGCGGCTCGTGCCGCCACCGCTGCTGCAGCTGCCGCGGCGGCGCCAGGGGCGGCCGGCGGCGTCGCGAGCGGTGCACACGGGCACGGGGCGCCCAAGCTCGAGCCCTCCGATTCGACGGCGGCGCAGCAGGGTTCCATGGCGTTGCCCGTTGGAGCTCCCGCAGTACCGATGGGCGGCTGGGGCCCGCAGCCGGCAGCGGGGCCGGCACCTGCCGCTGGCATGCTCCCTGTCCCGTACCTGCGGCCTATGCAGCCTGTGCTTCAACGCATGGTGAATGGCGGTGACGAAGACTTCTGAGGAGTCTGGTTTGCAACTTACCTTTCCCTCCGTGTCTACCTTTCCGTTGTTCCAGGCATGCCATCCCCCCTTCGCTGTTGTTGGCTGTTGTTATTGTTAAGCAGTCAAGGATACGTCAGGTTTTTCTGGGAGTCCTGTGTCTTGATCGTTGCGTGATGTTGCACGGATTGCCCACGTGTTTGGTGCACATCCAGCATCGGTGTTCGGCTTGCGTCGCGTCGCGCGAAATGTTTCAGCACCCTTGTGATATGGTCGCTATAGCTGGAGCGGTGGGTGAGTGTGCCTACCTGGCCTTGTTTTCGTATGCGTGCGCGTGGCTTACGTTCAGTTGATAGGAAAATGAGCCCGTTTAAGGACTTAAGGCCGGCCTGTGATGGAGGCGGGCTCGGCCTGACTTGCATGCGAAGGTGGGGTAGTTATTGGTGAGCGTTTCTGTCAATAGATTGAGTTGAGCACATTACATGACTGGAGAGGAGAGTGCATAAGAGGCTCTTACACCAGTATGACCATTCGAGTTGCTTGTTAGGCTGGTCGGATCTTTGCACATTAGTTTAAAAAGGTGCAATACACAGGTGTGGTGTCCGCTCCCATTATTGCATGCTTGGTAAAAGTGTGGATTCTTAGCCCCGAAACAGCGAAACAGCTCTCGGCAATAGCCTCGTGGCAATAGCTACATGTTGGCACAAAAGCCATGTGTGCTTCGGATCTTACACTACTGCTACAGTACGTACGTGTGGCGTAATACATCTTGAAGCCTTTAGGTGATAACATGTTAAGATGCCACGCAGCCAGCGTGCGGCAGCACATCAGTACGCTACCCAGCCATTGCCCACTAAGAGCCATTGCCCCAACCTCATGAAAGCCCCGCTGTCCACGAAGCTCACGCGATGCAGTTCAAGATCAGTTTAAAGATGTGGGCTCAAGATAGAGCGCCACGAAATTGTTCTTATGAAATATTGAAAACGGGAAGGTCACCAGGATGTCGTATACGCAGGGTCATGTTCGTGCAATCGCATACATATTGATAACGGGTTATGCAAAAGCAAGGATGATCGGCCACGCACGGTATGGACGTAGATGCAGCACTGACAGTGCGGGTCCATGGGAGGATAACAAGCCTCCTGCAAAGCGTGCAGAGACACGATCACATATATACATATAATACTTATACACGCACGCGCACATATACACACATATATACTTATATATACATATATATGTCCCTCCTTTCACCCTATCGTCTTAACTACTCTGTGCGGGCCAAGGACCCCGCTTTAGCCCTCACTCAAGCCTCCAAATCATGCATTTGTGACGGCAAATGGTCATTATCCATCACACCGTAAGCCGTATCCAGCTCCAGGCTGTCGTCCCAGCTCCAGGCTGTCGTCCCGCTGTCTAAGTGTAGCACCGGCAGGCCAGGGCAGGCCCACGGCTGGCCCTGGTCCAGTTATCAACTGTCCGTTCGGCACAAGGCCCTGTTGGCCAGCCATTCCACGCATAACGACGACTCCGGCCCCTAGCCAGCGCAATGTTAAACCCAGTACCTGCAACTCTCGCTCGCACATCACCGGCATCGGCCTTGGTGCTGTGTTTCCAGCACCAAAGGCATGCCGGGAATGCCCCCAGCACCTGTCATTTAATCAGATTCCCGACTCCGTCCCCGGCATGCTTGCTGCAACATGTGTTACTGCTCCACACCAGCGCAGCCTACAGCACGTAAAGAGACAATTGACGCACAGTACTCTACAGTCAAACTGAGGTTTTGTATAATGCATCCTTGGAGCTGAGCAGGACCTGCAGCACTGTGAGATCCTGGCAGCGGCTCCTGTACGAAGCCATGTCTACGGTCTGCATCCAGGCTGCCGTCCAGGTAGGAAGCCACCAGCCCGCCGCGTCCTCGGCGCAGGCAGCGCGCTGAGGGCCCCGCAAGAAGTCGGTCAGCGTCTCGGTGTTGGCGTAGATGGGCGCGCGAGAGGGCTCTGGCGCCGCCGACTCAGATTCGGTAGAGGGCTTGGTGTCTATTGCCGAGGTACTTGCGGCCTCGGTGCTTGGGGAAGTGACGTTGATGGCCGCGGGGACGGAGTTAAGCGCCGGTGTGGAGGACACAGGCGATGGCTTGGGCTTGTAGATTGAGGCGTCCAGGTAGACATTGTATCTACGGCAGGAAAAGGGTGTTCGTGCGGCGAGCGGTGCTCTGACGGTGGCGATAAGGTTAGCCAAGATGCTGGACGTCCCAGAGAAGCACGAAATTCCGGCCTCGTGGAATCACGTAAAATCTGACACAGGTTGGCATACTGGAATCTGACTCGGATGGCGTTGAGGTCGTCTTAACGCTTCCCAAGTCATGCCATTCTACAAAATACCCAGGCTGCTTGGCATGCGGCGCTCGATACGGGCCTATGTGATCCTGCGAGAGCTGAAAAATTCACCAGACGATGCGGGAAAGGAGTGATGGAGTTGCGCTGCATTCTAGGAATCGGCAGGACCAGGCCGACCAAAATGCGCGGACGCTCACCCATCATCCCAGACGTTTCCGATCGCGGCGTTCCAGAACATAGCTCCAACCATGGGCCCTCCTGTGGACTTCATCCAGTGTAAGTTGTCAGCAACCAGCTGGAAAAGCAGTACCCGCTGCTCGGCCGTGTAAGCACTGCACGCAGTTAGGGCCGAGAACTGTGGTTTATAATTGTGGTCTACACGTAAAAGCTTGCTTGCGCCCGGATTTCTCCTGGATGTGCTCACGGCGAGCCAGGACGCAAACAGCTCGCGCGCAAAATATCAACCCAGAACACTCCTAGCCAGACAGACGCTGTGTACCGGCGGCAACCAAAGACCCAAAGGAAAAATTTTCCTCTAACAGCACGCGAAACCGTATACGGGTCACGTACGGCAGGATGAGGCCGTACTCCTCCATGATGAGGGGCTTGCCGACATCGGCCGCGATGCGCTGATGGACGCCCAAATACTGCACCATGTAATTGCAGAAGCAGTCAAAGTCGCACTTCGTCCACGTCGGCGGCACGGACTCCATCTGGGAGGGAAGCCAGCAACATTCCCCGGCACGTTCAGAAGTTAAGGCTACAGGTGACATGGGCACGCTGTGCATCAAGGCCAGGGCGTGCTGCTCCTGCTGCTGCTGCTGGGGTGCCTGGCTGCTCGCTAGGGCATCCGTACGACACAGGTGGTATTGCCTGTAATCCTCACCTGGCGCTCGTACACGTGTACAACCGTCGCGTCAATGGAGTCGAACTTGCTCAATGTAGCCCAATCCTCGCCCTCACACCTTGCACCCGCACCTGTGGAGAACGAGCGGCCCGGGTCCGGCAACGGCCGTGAGGGTGTAGAACCCCACGTATATGGCTTTCGCGCTGCACTGCAAGTCCTGTGCTCAGTCCCTCTGACTGGGCCATGTAGATATCACACGTGCAAAGATCCAACAAATGGGTCATCGCTGCAAATCTAGCGAGGTAGCAATAATAACCCCACCTGGGTTGTAATTCTCGTAGGACTTTAGGAAGTAGCCTTCGGTACCTAGGGCCACAAGCTGATTGGGAGCATTGTCGCGCACGTGCGAGGCCACGGCCCGCAGAAACGCCTGTTGCGCACTCTGTGAGATCGCGTCGGTGCAGCCGGGGCAGCGCGGCTCGTTCATCGCGTCGTACATCATGATGGCATCGTCGTCCCGGTAGAAGCGTCCGTTGAAGGTGTTCTTGCGCCAGAGAATGGCGGAGACGTGATCCCGATAGAAATGGAGCACTTCGGGGGAGTTGTAAAAGTCCAGCAGATCCTTGCCAACTGGGTTGGAGGGAAGAAGGGTGGGCGGGGGAATAATTTTGCTTTTGTGACGCTTTGCAATGAAGGCACGTGAGAAGCTGCGCAGCAAGAGATGGCGCAGGCACCGTGCACGCGCAGCGCGCTGGGGCGTTTCAATGAAATTGCGAACATGTCTAGGGGTTGCACACCTGGGTCGATGCCAGCCATCCTCATGAAGTCTTGAGGCGAGCGATATGCAGTCCACGTGTTGCCTAGTGTCAAGATTAACTTGATGTTGTGCCTATACGTGAGATTGCGAGCTGCGTCAGCTATTTACAATAGATTGGCTTTCCGCTTCTAGTGCTCAAATCTCCACCTGCCAGCCGAATCGATGATGTAGTCGAGACCTTCAAACTCGGTCTCGTCATACTTTCCCCAAGCATAAGGCATGTTGTGATTGAAAGCCCAGAGACGAACAACCTCGAGCCCAAATTCCTGCGTGGTGGCAAAAGTCAATTATCACATAGGGTCTCATAGGTCAAACACAGAAGCGATTACTGATCACGCACGTTGCAGTAGTCGAAGAAACGGTCAACGATGCCGCGGTCCGTCTGGACAAAGTCGATAAGCCTGCACAGTGGCGCACTTGGTCAAAGAATGAGCTATGAGCACGTCTCTTGCCAGCGGCACAGCAGCAATAGCTCGGAGGTTATAACTTATGCGGCCCTCACCAATAAGCATTAGCTCCTTGAAAATACCAGGGATTGCCATCTACACAGAGCTGGTGGCCGCATCTCTGCACGAACGATGCCTTGGCGGTATGTAGGCAGGATAGGGCGATTGCCACCACAGCGAAAACCACATGATATTTTGATGGATTCATCTGGCTGTTACAGGCTGATCCACGCCTGGGGGATTAATGAAAAAGGATTTGCCATTGGCATGCCATGGAAATACCAGCTTCGGCAGCGTTGGTTAGGCAAGATATCAAGTATTAAACATAAACATGGTAGAATATGGGGGCCCTTCCGATACCTTTTCTGACGCCTGCAAGGCTTCTACGGACGCCTAAGATTATGGTGCACCAACTCTAGCCCTGGTCTGGTCCACAAGCAGGCCTGCCACTTGATTGCATATGATATAATTGATTCAGATGAAGGACTTATCTGTTGCCTTATATACAGCATGGATTGCCAGTCTGCTCGTCCGATTCCGTTGGATCCTGGCCATTTTCAGGTCCCGTTTTCCACCATTTTCAGGATCTTTTTAGTTAATTGATACATGGTATCATGTAAAACATACATTGTTTCCCTATCCTTGACCCTTTCGTCGGTCGTATGCGGTCATCTTACTAAGGCTCACCAGAAATTTGACAGGTTTTACAGAGCCACAAAGCTGAATTTATGGGTATTGAAGTCCTAAACTATTTTCTATTTTAAAGCCTGAAGTTTACAGGAGTTGCACTTGGCGCGGGGCAGCTGGTCCTGTCGGGCTGTCGGCGGACATTCTAACGTGCATAACGAGCGGGTAGAACCAACGCCCAGCATGACCCGTTTTGAACAATTACATGAGTCACACATGTACGTTTGCTAGCTATATGTTAACAGAGATAGTGGCTCTGCGCCCTCGGGCACCGGAACGTCGGCCTCAATTCCACGCAAGAACTCTTGCAGAGTCGCCGCACTCTCCGCAGGTTGCAAACTGAAGCGCTTCAATGGCAAATGTTTTCTCGGCGATTGAAGTGCTCACATTTCAGCGGAAGGCCTTCAGTTCTGGTGCCCGGTGCGTTGTAAACGTGGTGTCGGTAGGCGTGTACGTGAGCGAATTTCCTCTCAGTCATCGGTAGGAACTTGCATATGCGCTTCCTCACGCCACCTGTATTCATTGGCCATCTGGGTCAGCTGGCGCTAGGTGTTATTATTGGAGGCTTTCAGGTGACAGAGCTGAGCAGCTGAGTACAGATGCGACGCACACAGCCTTTGGAATCTAGTCATGATGACAATAACCGTACATCGGCCGCAGCCTGGCGTGTGTTAGTGTGGGGAGTGGGAGCAATCCTGGGCATTTTGGCCCATGTACGCTCGCACAGACCAGAACATTTATCTAATCATCACAGTCCCAGCCGCAATTCACTCAACTATAGGGTACAAGTTGCTAATTCATTTCAAATGTTCTAAGGAAACTGAACGACTTAGGTCTTGCTGGGAAATAGTAGTCCATTGAAATTATGAACGTTTCCAAGTAGCGCTGGCCAAGATATTGGCGTGTAACCGCTAATCATATTCCCTGGTTTTGCTCTATCGAAGGGCGCAGTTTCTTGTGCATATGAATATTGCGAAGAGAGAGAGTTCATTATTCAGGGGCATTACAAGTACGGCCGTTCCATGACCGAAACACACCAATACTAATAAGAGTGAATGACCGATAAGCATGAAAAACTGTCGGGCGTCTGGCCATAACTGGTTCTGTAAGTAACTTCAAAACCGGCCAAAAAAGGTCAGATCCCGAACAGCGGCAAAAACGAAGATACATGTCGAACATCGCTGAAAATGCTCGCCCACGCCATAGGAAGCACGCGACATTCGCGGCGAACTCAGTTTCTTCGGACCTCGACAACAAGCTCACTAACACTAATACGATCGATACATACATACATACGTAACACTTGCGTGTGCCTGGCGAGGAAGAACAGATGTTGCCCGAACTTCCTTTGCTTAAGCATAAGCAATATCAAGAACTTCCTGCTTCACGCAATCACGAACAAAAACCGAACTGAAAGGCAATTTTTCATTCCAGCACGCGTGTGCGAGCCTACACAGCCTCTTGCCAGAAGCCGTCGAAAGCGGCGAAGCCACGCAGTACACACACGAAACCGAGAACACAACAGAAAATTATTTAAAGATTAAATCTCTCGAAATTAAGAACTGTCCCCTCTCTAAGCCCCTATCATTTTCCCTCTCTTCAATCCCCACCTCGCTGGACAACTATCCTGGGTTCCCGAGGAAAACCAGGAAATCCGAAACAAACACGGCGCCGCAGCGGGAGGCTGCAAATAGATATACAGTTACCATGCACACAGCAAGAACGAACGCAACCATGTGCATCATATCAAGCAAGAACCTATCACACCAACCACGGCAGACGCAGCATGTTGTATGGACATCTGCCCGACGACTACCAACGCCTTGTAATTCTGCCCAAACCTGGTTGTTAAAGCAGCACACAAGTACCTATCAAGAGGCCAATCTACCAGTCATCTTTCAACTCCGAGAGCAACATCCGAGCGCGGTTAATGCAATACAGAGCCACGAAGTGCAAAAAGTGGCTCTCGCTCAGCCCGTACATAGCCAGAATCTTCCTTCTCTCCCTCAATGCCAGGCAAGATCGCGCATCTGCCGTCGCATGTCACACCTCTTCAAATGCAGTAGGAAGTCGCTCAGTGGCGTTGGGCCGCCGCGCGCGCTTGCGACTTGGAGAAGTGCTCATCGGCCATCTTGCGCAGCGCAGCCGCCGCTGCAGGGCCCGTCTTGTCCACGAGCTTGGAGAACATGGTCTCCCGGTTAGCCAGCAGCTGCGCCGGCGGTGCGAACTCCTTCAACTCACCGGCCTCCATAACCAGCACCTTGTCGGATTCGATAATGGTGTCCAAGCGATGCGCAATGGTGATGGTTGTACGGTCGTCGAACACCTTCTTGATGGTCTCCTGCACCACTTGCTCCGTGTGCGGGTCCATGGCTGCCGTAGCCTCGTCCAGGCACAGGATCGGCACCGCACGCAGAGCCGCACGCGCCAGGCACACAAGCTGCATCTGACCCAGGGACCAGGCCTTGCCACCGGTGCCATCGACGCGACCATCCAGACCACCGGCGTGCTGAGCCTGGGCCTCAAGACCCACCTTCTGCAGAACCTCCCAGAGGACAGAGTCGTCCTACACGGCGAGAAACGATGCCGGTAATTAGCGACGATAAATGGATGTTCGTGCGCGTAAATAACGTTTATTGAGACGTTACTTATGTGCGCGCTGCTGCAATAAGAACACGCATAACCCCTGCTACAGAAGGTTCACTCCTCCCCGAAAACAAAAACCATTTTGCAGTGTGAAAGGAAAGCCTCTGGCCATGCAATACAAGTGTGGCAGGCAAGGGCCAAGACTAAGACAGGAAAGGACTGTGCGGAGGCCCGGGAAAAGTGAAGGGTCACCTTGAACTCGCCGAAGGGGTCCAGGTTGGAGCGGACGGTGCCCGTGAACATGACCGGCTCCTGGGGAATGATAGAAAGGCCTGCGGAAGGGAAGACGCGCAAGTGCGGCAAATGTAAAAGGAGATGGCTCGTCAGCTCGGGGCGACCGCAGCGGTGCAAGGAATTGCCAAAATGGCAGACGAACATGCGCGGTAAAACCTGCTATTTGGCAGAGCCATGAGAAACCCCCGAGAATCCGAATTGCGTCCTCTGAGCCAGGGTAGCTTACCGGTGCGCAGGCGCTTGAGGCTGAGGGTGGCAATGTCAACACCGTCGATGAGAATGCGGCCCTTGCCCAGTTCGAACATGCGGTACAGCGCCAGCAGGGTGGTAGACTTGCCAGAGCCGGTGCGGCCCACAGCGCCGACCTTCTCGCCGTCGTTGATCTTGAAGGTGACGCCCTTGAGGGCCCAGGCGGCATCCAGGCGGTACTGCATCCAGACATCCTCGAAGCGGATGTTGCCGGTAGCTGGCCAGCGAGCGAGCGCGGCATCATCCACGACAACCTGGACCTTGCTGGTCGCTGCAAGCATGAATCAAGCAGAAATATAGACAATGAAAACATGGAAAATCAAACAGAGTAGAATCATATGGTTACACACAAGTTACATTTGGATGGCGGTATTCACTATCGTGCTTAGGCAGTCAGGTCGATATCCCGATTCTTACCGGGAACAATCTGGCCATCAGGCAAGGTGATGCTCTTGGCGACACCATCGAGCTGCTTCTGGTCGTAGAAAATGCCATCCTTCGGCACGTAGTCAGCCAGCCAAGCCATCTGCGAATTAACCAACGACGAACATTAATATTCAGCGAAAATTCCACGACCGCAGCTTACGGTGGCAGCGAGGCGACTACGCAATCGAAGCTGCGAACACAAGGTAACGGTGCTTCACTTACCGCCTCAACACTGTTGAACAGCGAGATCGACTCAGCGATGAAACGAACCACCCAAGTGTAGAAGACCAACATCTGAATGATGTTAGAGAAGGCGAGACCGACGGTAGCGGCACCAAGTTGATCTGCAAAGGAGCCACAGAAGAGCGGGGACAGAAATGTCAGTACCTGTTTAACGAAAGCGACATCCTTTCTAAGCACTCCAACCTCAGCAAAGCGACATTTACCGAAACATTCCGAGCCCATCCCGCCATGCAATTCCCTAGCCCATCCCGCCATGCAAGGAATTGGCAGACAAGTTTTATAAACAGCCACCCACCCTTGAGGCCCACGGCGAAGGCGCTCACGACGCCCACAAGGGAAGCACCGATGAGATCGCACCAGAAGGCCAGCCACAGGTTGAGAGACTCGGCGTTAAACACAGCGGCATTGGTCACGTCAGTACGGCGAGCAGCTTCCTCGATGAAGTACTCCTGCTTGGAGAAGGCCTGTACGACGTTGAGTCCCTCCAGCACCTCAGCAACCAGACCCACAAGCTGACCGCCGCTAACGGCACGAGCCTTCTTGAGGGCGGTGGCGGCTGGCAGGTAGATGGCCAACATAATCAACGTCATGATGATGAGGAAGCCAGTGAAAGCGCCAAAGAAGTTGATGGTGACGGAGACGGTGATGGTGGTGGCCAACAGAATCAGACCGTAGATGCCCATGAAGTGGATCGCATCTGGAAGATTCTCATCCATGATATCCTGCAGCAGGAAGCAAACATCCATTCCACGACATGCAACACAATTTCATCAGACGAACTCCCGTCGGAATATCGTCAGAATGCCAAGTCACAGGGCCTATGTCTTTCTGCGAAGAGGTTCGCTAAGAACGCACTCGCTCGCTCAGTCACCATTTTTTTCGCTCGCTCGCTCGCTCTGTCACATACACACATACACACACACACACACCTGATCCTTGGTGAAGTTCAGCAGCAGGTCACCGACGGGGGTGACGAGGAAGAAGCCCATCGGAGCGTTGAGCACGTTGTTGAGAGCCTTCTTCCGAATGTTCTCGGAGGAGCGCAGAACCCACCACAGGAAGGTGGAGCCACGAGCAACCATAGTGAAGTAGAAGAGACCCACGAGCAGCAGATAGATCAGCGCATAGAACTTGGTAGCGCTCTCCTCGCGCACGCCGGTGCGCTTGGGGAAGTGCTTGTACTCATCGTTCACCCACCAACGAACCCAGAAATCGGACATCTGGCGACAGGTCTGAGCAGCCAGGAAGGTAATGAAGCACACGAACACTGCGCGGGGGAAGGTTAAGGAGGAAAATGGGGTGAAGCGGGATACAACACGGTTATAGGCAGATAAGCGGCAGATTGCGTCAATATTCCGTCATCGCGTCAACATGCGCTATTTTACCTTGACCCTAGACCCTAAATTGCTGCATTGCATTGATCTCCGTTACATCCATGCCTGCCGACTCACCCAGGAGGATATTTCCGTAGTACGTGTAGATGAGGGCGGCCTTGAAAGCGGTGAGCTTGGGCGCCGCCTTGGTGTCCTTCTGAGTGGGCTTGCCGATGGAGGTGGGAGCCAGGGTCAGCTGCAGCGACTGCCTGCTCGGATCACACAGGGGAAAGGAAAAGATTGGGGTTAGATCGACGCACATTCATGTGTGTTTCTACGCACATCTCACGGACTAGAGCCAACCCCTGGCGCCAACGTAAATTGCATGGGGTTCCCTCCGGGGAAACCCAACTTACGACTTCTGCGGGGTGGCCTTGTCGTCCTTCTTCTTTGGGGCGGCGGGAGGAGCCTCCTGGGAGCCAGCGGCGTGCAGAAGGTGCGTGATGGGCAGGAGCTTACCCAGCAGGTGCTGCGACTCCTCATTCCATTTACCTGAGAGATTAGGGAGATGCGGAAGTGGGTAGGTAGGTGCGAGTAAAAGCTAACGTCCATAGCGCTGATGGCAACACAGCTTGCAACTCTTTTTCAACATAACCCCACGTACCGAAGTAGAGGCAGCGACCCTCGTCCATAATAGCGACGGCATCGCAGCGCGGCATGAACTCAATTTGATGGGTGATCAGAACGACGGCCTTGTCCGAGAAGAGGCCCTTGATGCACTTGTCGAAGATGTGGTGAGCAGTGTGGTGGTCAACGGCCGACAGGGCGTTATCCAACAGGACCAGATCAGCGTCCGCATACGCGCAACGAGCGAGGTTAACGCGCTGACGCTGGCCTCCCGAGAAGTTGACACCGCGAATACCAGCCCTGCGAATCGGTTGTAAGTTTCCGAACGAATTAACACTTTGTCTTGTTGGCTCCTATTGGAGATTTACGTGAAATTCGGGACAACAGACTACTGAACTAAGATTTTGACTAGGGATGAGGAAATCTTACTTGCTCTGGTCCCCCTGAGGAAGAATCTGCAAGTCCATGGTCAGCGCGCAAGCGTCGATCACAGCTTCGTACTTGTTCTCGTCCCAACCCTCGCCGAAAGTGACGTTGTCGCGGATGGACAAGTTCTGCAGCCAAGGGTTCTGAGGCACGTAGGAGATGCGGCCTCCCACTTGCTGCGAGCCGTGCTCCTTGACCATGTTGCCGAGGATGGCCTGCACCAAGGACGACTTGCCAGCTCCAATACGGCCCACCACAGCGACCACTTGGCCGGGGCGCACGTCGAAACGGGGAACGTGGAGGTGCCTAGCAAGCGATCATATGCGGCATTCAGCAGACAGGGCAGAATTTCATTCACAATTCAGGAGTAGGTATTTCATTCGATGTCAGAGCGTTATGCGAGTCATGCCGTCCAATAGCTGATGCTCATGTTGGGAGCGTTGCCAGCGGAGCAGTAAATTAGCTATGCGACGCGAGCATCTTTCGCTCCCGCGCAAAGTTACCGGAGACTGGGCTTCAGGAAATGCTACAACTAGGAGTGTTACCATTACATGGCAGGTGTTGGCTTACTATACATTAGCATTGGCGCACAGGGAATGCACTCTGCCCGTAGCTCTCACCAGTTGGGGTTACTGGGGTGGTGGTAGACGGCGTTGTCCTGCGTAACATAAAGGAGGCGGGGAGGGCGACAAGTCGGACTTAGCACCCAATGACTGCAACATACATTGCCATACAACGACTGTACACATCAAACAAAGTAGAGGATAAGCATGAGAAGCCACGTTGTCTTACGATGTGGACGCCAGGCGCGGAGGACTTGCTGCTCTTGCCGCCCGAAGCGGTGCCCTGTGGCACATCCTCAAGCAGGTAAGACTCCAGGCGCTGCAGGGAAGCATGAGCCTCTGCGCACAGGACATGGGTGTAAAGGTAGCGTCGCGAGAAGAGGACAACGTCAATGACACGAACAGGGGGGAATCAGGCGACACAAGCAAACTCCCACTGCAGCAGGAACCCCAAATACAACACGCAACCCTAGCCCTTTCCACGTTGCCATGCGGCCACCTACCAGACACGGCGCGCAGAGCCTTCGGCAGCACCACAAGGGGGAAACGCAGAATGTTGAACAGCGACAGGGTGGTGAAGGCCACGCCAGACACCAGACGAGCCTTCTGGAACTCATAGGTGGTGAAGATGACGAACGCGGTCATGGGAGGCACGCAGAACACGCAAGCCACGTTGATGACCTTCATCATCGCGTTCCAGAAGGACAGACGCATCTCCTCGCGGCGGATCTGAGGGGGACGCCATGGCACGGAATAAGTAAATAGAAAGAAAAGCGCAGCCAAAGTCACGGGCAACATTTGCTATGCGATTGTCACGATGTCAATATTGTTACATTTCAATTTTCCTTCGTATCAATAGTTTGCCATTCAGTTTGTCATTAAAAAGCTGCGCCTGTTATTGCAACCTCACCATGTCGCGGGACCTACCTTAGAAATCTCATCCTCGAAGAACTGCTCCCATGCGTAGTACTTGACCAGCTTAATAGCAGGCAGCACCTCCTGCAGGATGGAGCTGCGCAGAGCAACGTGCTTGGCATTCTGCAACTTAATCTGGATAATCTTGTAGCCAAAGAAGTACTGCAGCGGCAGGACCAGCAGGATGACGCCCAGACCAGGCAGCATGGAATCGTTGGTAAGGTAGCCCAGCAGTGCCAGAATAGCAGCAGCCTCGAAGGGAGCAGTCCACAGGTAGTGAAACTCCTGAGAGCGACGGGGGCGCACATACAACATAAGGGGATTAAGGCAGCGGCAAAGAATCTAGAACCCTGCTGATGATGTTGCGGCTGATGGCTGCAAAAAACAACTCCAGGCGAGCAGAGTAGGTTCAGAACAAGAGCAACTAAAACTTTCGTGATAACAATTTTACTGATGAACAGCTCACGATAAATTACCGTTAACTAATGCCGCTTACCAACGCGCCATCGTAGATTTTCTGAATATCGGAGGAGACGAAGTTTACGATGGCGGCGGACTGGTCAGCTCGGACAGAACTGAGACGAAAGGCCTTGTGGGTCACAGCTTGAACCAGAGCTGCGCGAGCGCGGATACCGACAGACATACAGATGTAGCCCATGCGCTGAAGACTGAGACCAAGAAGCCAGGCATCGAGGGTGAATCCCGCCATCAAGCACCAGCCAGATACAGTCTTGGAGTACAGGCGACCGTCCTTGATGCCGTTGACGTGAGCAAGCAGACTGCGGACGGGATTGGGCGCGTTAAAAGGGGAGCCGTTTGCTTATCGCGCATGCGATGTAGGAGGTGCGAATAATAACTGCCATGCGCATGAATGCGATGATACAAATAGCTGTAGTAAGACACAGTTTCCATTTGAGAAAACAGGTGGGATGCAGAACGTAATTAATGCTAAGGAACAAGAACTACATGTTAAGAAGCAAAATTATAGCATAAAATGGCCTAGAGGAAGCATTCACTGGTATGGAAGCCCAGCGCGATCAGTCACTCGGAATAGTGTAAGGGCCAAGGAGGCGTGCGCTAGGAAGTCATGCGCGCTAGGGCATATTCACAAAAATCATCGTGAGCTTGTCATGTATTTAGCACGCTGCGGACGCAGTAGGTCTTGGCATGTGGGAGAGAGAGATCGGATTAATCAACGGAAATGGTGGTATGTAACGCTCCGAAATCGGTAGCCGAGCTAACCTGCGCACGAAGTAGAAGGCGCCAGTGATGACGAAAGTAGACCAGAAGCACTTGAAGACACCACCAAGAAGATAGACCAAGCCGAAGGACTTGCGCAGGGCGCGAACAAGTGAAGGCTTCGCGCCCGAGTCCTTGAGCTTCATCTCAGCCGCCCAGTTAGATGCGAACATATCATAAGCCTGAATAAATATAAGGAGGGTAAATGCGTCGATTCAGTACAAATTGTGAACACAGACGACTGCGCAGTCCTTAACCTCCGACGCCACCACTAAGCTTACCTCATGGGCATGATTCTCAGGCGGCATGCCCATCTTGTCCAAGTCGATGTCGCCATTCTTGCCTGCGACAGTCAAAAATGCCATATTGAGAAGTGACTAGTGAAATGGAAAAATCGACCACTTGCACACTTCAGATATCACTTACGAGCTTCGGACACATGCTTGAACATCCATCCGAAGGCGAACTTGTTAAAGAATCCCGCAGTGGGATCATTGCCCCTAGCGGGGTGGCTTATCGTGCCCATCGCTCACAGATGTATGCTTCCAGGAACCAAGACTTGGTTACTCTGATAATCGCTATCTAAGTGTAATGTTTAACGCTTTCCAAATTGGTCTGCACGAGATCAAATCGTGCAAACACTAAATCACTTTGCCAACTCAGGCTCTTAATCTACAACTACACCTTCTCAGCGCCAGAGGCTGATGACCACGACGACTGACCCTGATGTGGTGATAAATGATGTTTTTACAGCCTTCATATATCCTTGATGTCCGCGGTTGCCGATGTCGTACCATTGCGTGGGATGTTAGAGGTTGTCCGATGCCGTACACTACTTTGCCAACTACCCTACTACATGGATTGAATGCTCGTTCACAAATGCGTGAAAGTCGTGAAACGTACGTGATAATTCTGTTCATTGTCGTGTATGGTATACTCTTGAAATCCTAGATATCAGGTGCATGCACGCACCGATGACGTTCGCAATATTCATGACTGTTGGCCATAATCGCATATAATTCAATGACGTCCTAACTAATGAGCTATAACATGATCCTGTAACTAAGTAATTGCTTGCACTTCATGCTGATATCCAAAGTCATGTTGTCAGTTGATGCACTCGACGTCTTTCCTTAACATGGGTCCTCATCCCCTGGCATGTTTAAGCGATGAAGCAAGTAATATGCATTATATAACAATCTTCATTCTGCAAACCGAAGGTGAATAGTAGGTATTTACATCTTTCCGTTGAATCACCAAAGCTTTCCTCAGCACCTCTAAGCACTGATCAGCATTAAATTTCAATATTCCATGCATACCCAGAAGATTTTTGAGTTCATCGCTTGTATAAACGGCGCTTTCCTGACCATATGCATAGCTTCGAGACAATTATGTATGCAGCTGACAAATAAGGATACAATACAAATAACTTCTCTGTCGACGACTGCCTAAACATGCTATCCAAGATTTCTAGCGACGTCTAGCTGATTACGTTCACTCAAGGTCGACATATCGAGGGTTCAGTTGGCCCTGCGTTTCGTTTCCCAAATAACAACTTTTACAACAACTACCTATCGGACATGACCTAAATGTCTACCATGTCATAACCATAAGGCAAACATCACTCTTCAACCGTCCCCGCACCGACAAGAAAAGCACGCGCGACAACGGTATGGGATAGTGGCCATTTCGCCTTTTTTAAGCCGCATAAGGGTGATCTGAAGAATGTCAAAAGACAAACGGAGGTAAAAGCCCGATCATAACTGGAGGGTCCTTAAATCCGCGGCATTCCGGCTGACCAACCGCGCAGACCGCGTGCTAAGTACAGCACCCCCGACTGACAAGACCTACCACAGGACATGGACGGCGCCTTGTTTAGATTTATGCTTTCTTTGCCCGGCCTTTGATTCACAGCTGTATCGAGGGGGTTCATCTGCACATGGGACTTTACTAGACCAAAACAAAACAGAATCTGGGCTCACTTTTCTGTTCAGTCCAATCCTACTGCATAATTAAAGATTTCAGAACGCTCACCCACAGCTCCCGGTTCGAGCTTTGATGCCGCTTTTTGAGTTCATTTAAAGTTTCACTGGCCTAGGCTTTGGGTTTGGGTTTGCCGCGGCCGGGAGGCCGCAACGCTTTCCTGTCTACGGAGCTAACCGACTGATGTCCCTTGGGGAACCCCTCTACCTATACTGGTTTGAAAACACTGTGTATTAACGCGGGTGCCCCCCTCCCCGGCTCACACCCACCGTTGAAGCGTTGTATGCCCGTGTGTGCTTCCCAACGGGATTCAGCGACATAGCGCGTCATTTAAGATGCTTAGCCTAGTAACGCAAAATAGTGTAAATGCCGCACAGCCTCCTCTTTATTATTGCATTGCGGAGTCCTTTTTTGTTGCACACGCGATACAAAGGAAAGGAGCTTGCATATGCGGTATTATGTTGCGCGCTACACCGCAATTGCGAGCCCGCTTAATTACTGATTGCCAGATGGGTGCTTCGACGCTGTTGGGCCATCAGCGGGCCATATGCCTCGTGGGTTCATCATCAGCGGTTGTAGCACCCAGAAGGAAAGGAGATATTTTCCCTCCCCTGCCCATCTTACATCTTATCGGTCTCCCCTTTTGGGACCGCTTTGTGGATAAGAGTGACGCGCAGCGTGTGTCCGGGCATCTGAGAGGGAATGCAACAGAATGCAGCAAGTCAAGGAATCTCTCCGTGGGTTGCCACCAGTACTTAACCACAACGAAACCGTCCACCACAGACATTACAGCGCCAAAGCAGCATCAGCACACCCCGCTTCATCCAGCGGACCAGAGGAGTGCAAAAACAATCATCTCCACCGAAGATGAAGAAGAAGACGACGCACCTTCCGTTGGCCATGGGCTTGTACATAGTTGACCCCAAACCATCCATCGCCAAGCTGCAGCGCAACATACGCGACTTTTGTGATATAAACGAGAAACGCAACAAAAAGAAGGCACACAACGTATTTCACTAGTTCGATCTCACCACTACGTTGGTTACAGTCCCATACCTCAAAATCCCACACCAACGCGACGAGTCAGATCACCTTAACATTGACCTAGAAGCAATTCGACAGACGACGACACAGGCCAGGCCATCACCACCTCCGGAAAGACACGCGTAAAGAGCTGTGCACGAGGACCAAGACCAGAAAGACCAGGCAGACCTGGAACAGGAACGGCAGCTGGAAGGGGGGCCGGCGGCGGTGGACGGAACACCTAAATTCAACCAAAACAGTCAACGGAGGGGGATACACCACGTTACCCTTTAGCGGCGCAACGCACAATCGCCTAACCAGCCCGGGAATTCAAATGCTGTGCATACACATGCACGTACACAACGCAGCAGCAGCAGCAGCAGCAGCAGCAGCAGCAGCAAGCCTACCACAACAGTTAGATTGCGAGGCGCTCCTCTGGGCCCCCAAATAGCGTATACGAGTGTGCAGTACATTATCCAGAGCAACGCCGAAACCGCCAACCGGAACCGCCAACCCGCCAGTTCGCCAAATCCTCACCGGCATGTCCAACTGGAAATGAAGGCATTGTCCGCTTGGGCGTGTCCCTTGGCCCGCTATTTCCTCTTAGCACTTAATTAGCACATCATACATACATACATACACACACATACATACATACTTTGCCCTAGCTGAGACTTGTGGACTCGCTCTAGCGGGACCTGAGAGCCTTTCGTGGTGTTTTCACTGCAGCGCCATCCCCGGATGGAGAGGCTGCGGAGTGGCTGCGTAGAGTGTTGGCAGTCTGAGTCGGGGTCGGGAGCACGCAAGACTAACCGACTTGTGCTGTGTGCTCCCGACCCTTGCGCAGTGTTTCGGCTTCGGCCCCCGGCTCTCGCGGCCCACAGTGTAATCTAAGTCATAGATACATACATACAGTTAAGACACGATCACACCTCAAACCGGGCGGTCTCCTCCTAGCAAGCTTAAACAGTACCCAACCCTAGGCATTCCTCCTGCCGTGGCGGCGAATCAAACCCGTACAGATGCGTGGGATGCCCATTCCACGCACCTAAATTCACAAAATCGTACACCGCCGTACGTGGCAGCTGTCGTGCACGTCACAAAACACACTTCCGGTGGCTCCCTCCCGAAACGCGATGAATGATGATGCGCGGTGGCTCCAGAGCGAAACCAGGCAACCTTCTCTCGGATTAAGAAATCCAACTCAATGATGGCCATTATCGGACTACTTGAGGCCATGTATGTGTATTTCTCCCCCATCATCCCTCCCCGGGTCTCCTCTCGCCCCTCACCAAGTGCCCCAATCCACACCTGCTTACACGGGCCCTATGGGACACCACGACGCTTTACCCCAGCGCACCAAGCAGCTCCGAAACAAAACACACACAGACACACACACACACACGCACAGATCTTAATTAGCACGGGCCCGGCCATCCCGGACCCTGCAGGCCGGCTCTCCGCCAAGGACTCCGCTGAAAACCTTTCATCAAAGATATGTTGTATTTACATGCAGCATTAATAGGCCGGGCCCAGGGTGGCTCCGAGAAAAAACAAGGATGGCCTCCGACCACCCGCCGCGGGATATGGAGGGGTACAAGATTATCCGGGGTTTCCAAGGGTGTTTGTGCGTATGTATGTATGTATGTATGTATGTATGTATGTATGTATGTATGTATGTATGTATGTATGTATGTGTGTATGGTAGTGGCGGCCTGCTGGCGGTGAACCCCGCGATGTCTCAACCCCTCTTGTCACATTTCTCCTCTAGACTGACTACCATGGACACGACTCCACAGTTTCATACTTGTTGTTTGCTTTTCAGACATACCCCCAGACATACTTTTTGGTGCAGCCGCAGTCGCAGTCGCGGTCGCAGCAGTGCAGTTACCGGTCCATACAGGGATTGGAAAACTCTACCACGTCGCCACGGACAACGGAGAGCTTGCTCAGTAGTCCGAAGCTGTTCGTGCAAAAACCACCATTGCCATTTCCCTCATCGCGACTCAAATCATCAAAACCAGGCGGATGAGTGGATACACACAACACCCCGCGGCCCACCACATGGAAACGTGTGTCATAAAAGCACTACACATCTTTATACTTCCCCTTGATACGCAGACAGACAGACAGACTGACTGACAGATAGACAGGCAGACAGACGGACAGAAAATCGCAGCCAGACAGACACACAGACATACAGACAAACTGGCAGGCGAACAGAGAGACAGACAGCCATGCCCACACCGCCACCACCACCACCACCTCTGGCGACCACCTGTTGCCTCCCCTCCCCAGCATCCGCCATCCCGACGTCCCATTAACACGCTCGAGGGCTCCAAGGGAGTTTCCGCTCCCCTGCACAAACAACACTTTTTGCTCGTCCAACCCCGTAGTATTTCCTTTTACATCAATGCACGCCCGCATGTGCCTTCTTTACACATCACCCCAACCCACCACACCGACACGAACATCGCAGAATCGGTTCCTTTCCACCAGCTCATGCGTTCTTAACCAAAT